AAACATTTGCTGTCATTTTTTGTCTCATTCATTTACAAGATAATTTGAACTTAATTTTCATAGAAAATTTCATTCTAATCCTCAAATTTTCCCATACCAGATTCTTTGTACGGCAAGTTGAGATCCTCTACAGTTACATCTGTTTAAAATAAAATCCCAGTGAAAAGTATATTTTATATACAATACTAACTCACTAAATGAACAAAAAGTCAATGCCTAAAAATGTTAGACACTGAAGAGGTATTTGAACATTTAAAAAATAATGAATAACCCCTCACATGTGGTTTTTATTGCGAAATGTGAAAAAATTAAGTCATAGATTGTGATTAAGAAGTTAAAATCAGTAAAATGTCAAAAATGTTACTCTTAGCTAGAGCTACCTACTTACATGATTACAGATGGGCTAACATTTACAATTACAAACGAATTCATTAGTGAAGTTTTCGAGATGCACACGACAGACGCATTTGAATCTATTTTGGACTCATCACCTAGTTGCACCTGATACATCTCAATGTTGACATTGACATCGAACCTAATAGTATCTGATTTGAACTACATTTAATGTTTAGTGTGTATGATATTCACTTTGTCATTAATTAAAATTTGATGATAATATTAATTATTATGACTTGATTTTCACCAGTTACTGTCTGCCTTGATATTATTATCTCATCGGAATTATATCTTGTATTTGTATAATCCAGGACATGTGTCTCAACTTACTTGCCTACTGTTAATCATTTGATTACAGACAATAAATCGTTTAAGCGTACCTGTTTTATAAATCTTTTCTAATCTACAATTCATTAATCTTTTGGTTCCGAATAGAGAATTTGTTTCTATTTCGAAGGTTGATTTTTTGTAAAAAAAAAAATTATTGCAAAGAAACTGTGAAACTGAAAACATTTCATCGAGACACAAAAATTTTAATATGACAAAAATGTTATCAATAAGCGTTTTTATGGTCATTATTTTTTGACATATAATCATCATTTTGAAATTGTTATGTCAAAACTGCTTTTCTTCAATAAGCCAAAAAAAATTCAACAATTTTTATTATTTCCGAATTATTATTATTAGTATTTTTTCTAAAATAATAAATTTTTTTATTCAATCTGTCTAACTGAACACGTTTATGTGAATGAAAGAAGGTGACAGTTCATTTCGTAGACAAAATGATTATTAGAAGATGTACGAATAGACAAATTTTCACTAAGTACGTATAAAATAATACAACAAAATGACTGTGTTTTGTAAAAATTTTGCAAAAGTATCTGAGTATTTTATTTATTATGTTCGAATAACTCATGTTTATAAAAGACTTCATTATACTTTCGAATTTCCATAACGATAGATATAATTATTTTGTGTAAATAAGTCTTTTCAAAAACTGCAGTTATTTTTCTTGTTAATAAATCCTAATGTATATCACAATTAAATCTGATTATAGCTGCATATTTAGATAAAGTTTGACTTGCATTCAGTTCTATCTGTACAGTAACCATGCTAACTACTAAACAGACGTCATGTCGGTTTCACTTGCTTGTATTATCGTGCTCAAATCATGAGTACTGATGAGAACCCCGTCTATTAGAGAGTCAGTATGTGAACAGGAATTTAGGTGAATCGTGTTAGGCAGCAATAAAATCTCAAGTCATTTCATATATATATAAAACCTGTCTAAGAAGGGATTAGTTATCATTTAAACAATACAAACTTCATTGTATATGGTTGGAACATGGAATATTGTACGTTCATACGTAGTTCTAATGCATGAGTTCTGGATAATTAGAACAAACCATGTTTTTGAAACTATGAAATGATTATCTTTGAACGTCTATCAGTCACAACACTGTTTACACAAGTGAGGAATCATGTCGTTTTATTAAATTAGACTATCACAAAATAAAATAAGTAACATAATATTTTTCACGACATTCGTTATGACTAAATTAGGCCTGTTCAGTACAATTATACGATAGTAATGTACTAGTCAGATCTCAGTTGAGGATTTTAAAGTTAATGGGATGTATACTGAATTACAATCTTGACGATCAACTATCTTATGACAAATTTTATTAAAGACGTTATAAAGTTGAATTTATAAGACATAAGAACGCCATTATTCATTCTGTAAACAGTGAACTTATACTTTACTTCACTAGTGAGAATTCTTAAAGTAATTGCAAGATCGTATATGGTAAATGGTAGCATTGACATTACTCTTGGTAATAGTAGTTGTAGTAGTTAGAGGAAGAGGAGGAGAACGAGGAGTAGTCTTAACACGACTGATGATCTAAAATTAATAAATGCTGTTATGACTTTTGATATGTTAAGTGGTTAAAAGTCACCGGGAGAAAACACTGTATCTGGGCTTCTTCCTATTTGGCTCTATTCATTTAGAGGTAATTTCAGTTTCTTTTCATGGGATCTAAAATACCCTAACGGCTTCGAATATGCAGCACTCTTCTTTGTGTGAAATAGGTCAACACTAAAAAAAAACTGTCCATATTATTTGGCCAACATTAAAATTATTCTCACAATGTATTATATTCCATGCTAATTGTTTGAACAAAATGTTTGTACTAACATCTCTTTGCCTCAACTACTGGTAAGATAAGCGTACAGTAATCCAGAAAAAAAGCAACTTATTTCTTCTATTAAAAAAATTTATATATGTACACTATAGCTATCAATAAAATAATTTTAACTAAATAATTGATAAAATCAAATCAAAAGTGTTGATTTGAATAAATAATTAACAAATTTTAATTAATTTATTCTATGCTGATAGACAAAAAAAGGTGATGTATATTCCTTTATAAGTTTGTAGAAAAAAAAGTACCAGTAAGTTTTTATTTAGTAATTAAATTAATTTTAATTAAATTCATGACATCAAATGAATAAAATAACAGTTAAATGGGTGGTTGAAACACGTGGTGTAGTTGACTATTTTTTATTTGGTATTTATAAATATTCGTAGGTTTCATTTTTGAGTAATTAAGTAACTATTTCACCAAAAAAAATGACTTGATCGCTTCAAAAAGTATTGTTTCGGTTTCACAGCAATAAATACAAGATTTTTCATTTTACAGTTATGAAGATAGTTGTTTTCCAATAAAATCGAGAATCAATCATCATTAGACCACCATTAGAAACCTGCAAGCACTGGATGACTGATGAGCTCCACACTGGGACGAATCGGACATCCGCTGATTCCAAGCTTCTAATGGTGTTCAAACAATGATCGATTCTCGATTTTATTGTGAAACAACTAGCTGCATAATTTAATAATGAAAAATCATAAAAATATGTTCTTTAGTGACTAGCTTTGTAAGAAAATTCTCGAAATTCTAGTGAAAAGCTGTCACCAGCTGATTACAGCCCCGTCGACTGTGGGCAGCAACTACTGAAGATAATGGTTGAGGTTGCTCAAAAACCTTTGATCGATCACAGCTATTCACTAACACCGCTGGATGCGGACCCAGTGCTCTATAGGCTAGGAGTTCGTGTACGAGACCGAATATCATGGGTTCGATTCCCCTCGTGTCGGTCCCGTGCACGACACTGCTGGAAAGTGCTTTCAGGTTTCGAATGTTCATTCAACGATAAATGATTCTCGAGTTCACTACAACTACATAAGAGATGACTGCCTGCTTAGTCCACTCCTATTAAAATAAACAGAAAATTGGTAACAACATAAGATGATTCGATCTAAATTATTTTCAGTGTCCTGATAAGCTACATCATGAATCGACACCAGTTACATAAAATTTAAAAAAATGTATCATATTACCAAAGAGCTGGTAAAGGACTACTCAAAAACGTACACTTTAAAAGGGATAAAATAGAGAACCAGTGCTAAATTTAAACCGTTGGTTAGGATATTCATCGAATATCCTAAGAGAATTAATTTTGTTAGTCTAATTCTATAGGCCGATTCCTACTGGTCAAAATTATGGTCGTCCTAGCTATCAGTGTCACGTGCTTCGATGTTGTTTCATATCAGCCTCCCTAACTATTAATGTCACTTTAAATGTTGTTTCCTATTGGTTGTCCTGATTGTCAATGTCACAGACTTTAATGTTGTTGTTTCCTATTCAACCTAACTATATAAATACGCATTATCTGTAACGTTTTATGACCCGCAACCGGACCCGAATCCCTAGTCTGGGATCCTTATTCGCTTCTGGACTCGGACCTCCTACTTTCCGTATGCTTGTAGAATACATGTTCTACTTCATATCAAGTCTTATTCTTTTACTCAATCGGTAGTTGGGTCACTCGGATTAGAGTAGCATGTCGTGTCGCCGTATCATCGATACTCGCCCTCCTTTTCCAAATAAGCTAAACTCGTGATAGTTCAAGCATATCAGTTGGCGTGTTTACGTGCATGCGTAACACCGTTAAATTGACATTAAGTCTGGACACTTTCGAATAAAACTTATGGAATGTTTTTTTATGAGTAGAAATTGAATTAAATGGAACCAACCGTAGAGAACGGAAGTCGTTTGTATTAATAAAATTAACCTAAATTAGCTTATCTTGTTATGTTAGTCGCAGATGCTTGGTTTAAACGAACACAAAGTGAAGAAAGTAAATTAGAGATTTAATTAAGACACTTTTTCTATACTGAATAATTTTGGTCAACCTAAATTTTTTTAATTTACCTATGAAACTACGAGATGCTGGTGAATAAATAAAGCTCAAAAAGCATTCACTTGAAGACCTAATAGTCAAAGATTTGACTCTTGAACGAGTCATGGGTGAGTAGTTCTGGAAATCACTACACTAGGAGGATAAAACAGCTTTACAGTGTTTACTGGTTTTCGATAATTTTCTAGGCAAGCACTAACTAATGAAAATTCAGCAAAACTTCAAACCAATAAAAACTTTTTTTACGTTTACTGCTAAATAAATTTTTCGTAGACTGTAATGATTGATTAATTTACATTTAACTGACTTCATTGTTTCATATTTTCAAAATATCACAATAGAAATATTCAAATTAACAGACAAGATCTATTTGATGATTCACCATGGCCTAAACTTGATGTGAAATTTACTGTAAAAGATGAAAATGGCCAATCTGTACAAACAATACTAGAATCAACTTCAATTAGATTAGACGCTGAATTAATTGATGAACTAAGTAAGTACTGTAATCATAATTAACATGAATGGTTATTAAAATTTAGTTTATGTTTAATTGCTTCACTACACATGATATTTAAAAAGTTCGTAGTTATACAATATTGTTTTAATATCTGACAATGGCCTTGCTGATACAAATGCGAGTGAAAAAACTTAATTAAATTAAGAGAATCCTTGTGGTTAATTAGTCATTTTTTAATAAATAAAACACATGCAGGTGGGTGGCTTTTTGAGCCCGTTATGGACTAATTCTCTCATTAATAATCATAACATGATAATTGCACCTCACCAACAATGTGCATTCACGACCTCGCGAGCAGGAAACAAAGCCATGACCTTCCGTCACCCGTGTGAACAACCGTCTCCTTGATACTATTTCTGAAAAAGAATTTTCATTATTTAAAACAAATCCGTCTGCATCAATATTGTGCGAATCAATCATATGAATTATATTCATAAGTTAGTCTACAATTTAAATATTTTTGAATCAAAATGAATCTTATGTTTAGCTTGTTGTTATATGTCATCTAGGCACCTAGAAAAAAAAAACACATCGGAAATGTAACTGATTATTAAGTCATGATAATAACTGTCACAGAGATTGAAGGTATTCTTTGATGATTTGTTATCAAAACTGTCATCAATTTTTATTTTCAAATGTATTGTACTTCAAATGAAAGAAACTCATCTTTAAAAAATATACATTACACGATACAACTGAGAAGACAAATTGTGTAAGAAATACTGTCCAAAAACAGTTTAACAAATAAAAGAAATAGAGCTGATTACATGATTAAGTGAAGCTTTCATTAGTCAGCATTCAATCGATCCGGTGTTTTCAAGTTATCTGTATGACGAATGATGGTGACTGTTGAATTTTATTGTTTACTTCAATTCACCTGATTGAAGTTAGACAGCTAAACGATAGAAGGCGTGTTCGATAGTTTGAAGATTGAGCAAAAGTCAGGCTACTTGAATGTTATGAATTCAATCTCTGTTGGTTAATGGATGCTTACTTTATAGGAGCTCTATATATCAGGATGAAATGCATGTCCAGAGATTACTAGTTCTTAATTAGTTACTGATTTCTAGTATAAAATTTTGAGTTGGGATTGTGAATCATCTTTTATTCAGTTTTTTTGTTCTCATAAGTTATTAAGCTTAAAGAGAGAGGAATATTGAATTCAATATGATTATTGTATACACATTTGAAATCATTAATCAATCATCATTGTTAGACCACCATTAGAAACCTGGAAGCACTGGACGGCCGTTTCGTCCTAGTATGGGACTCCTCAGCAGTGCGCATCCACGACTCCTGCTCCTCGCAGGATTCGAACCCGTATAGTTTTACAAATCCAACTGTCAAAGTTTGCTAATAGGTCATTCAATGAATATCGACTACAAACAGATCTTGTTATGTATACAATGTTGTTGTATACGACTCTATTTTTTCTTCACTGTAAATCTACGTGCGCTTGTTTTGATCATTATACGAGCTTTAAATTTCAATTGTTTATTTGTCCAGAAATTAGGACATATAGTTTTTTTGTTTTGTTTTGTTATGTTTTCTGTTCAACATTCAATTTCATAGATATTTACAAAGCTATAACTGTTGAAGAATGCTACATGATAGACAGGATAAAATCTGGTCAGAGAAATGAAGATTCAAAAGAAACTCTTTTATCATACAAAAGGTATGTGAACCGATAAAAATATATCCATGCGTAAACAGTAGAGAAGAGAGAGAGAGAGAGGCAGATACAGAAATGTGACGTTATCAGTTGACATTCTCTAGGTGCTTTACTACAACAGCACGATATATACATATATATATATATATATATATATATATATATATATATATATATATATATATATATATATATATATAGCAAAATGAAAAATTTGGGCAATATAATTTCCGGATAAGTGTTAGATTTTTTTTAATATTCATGGAGGGATTAGATGTGTATATTTATATAAGATTTGTTAAAATAGTAAATGCGTGATTGATATTCTTAGACAATGTGAGTTATAAGCAAATATTATATATACATAATCACACCTAATTAGTAATGTGATACTTTCGATAAGTTACATGGAAAACTGAATCCATAGTAAAATGCTTTACTTCTTTTCTAGGAAAAAGTAACTCATAAGCGTAATATTCATGATAATGACATGGAAGTTTCATTTAAATTTTGAATTGATCATCATTAGACCACCATTAGAAACCTGAAATTACTGGATGGCCACTTCATCCTAATATGGGACTCATCAGCAGTGTATACTCACGAAGCCTGCACTCAGGAATCAAACTCCGGACATTCGGTCTCTCACGCGGATATTTAATCTCTAGACCAGTGAGGCGGCATCCAACAGTATTCATATTTAACTTCAGTCAGTCCATGGTGTTGTGCAACCTCATCCATTAACTCAGGTGGGTAACTTCCCGATTATTCACGTACTTACAGGTGTTACCCTCCATGGATCACAGGCCGCCGACCAGTATCCTGGTCCATCTGCGTTCTCACATCTGCATCGGATCCACCTTGATTGTCAATTATGCTGCCCAGATATGTAAATGTTTTTGCATCCTCAAAGGCACCTCCATCAAGAGTGATTTAGTTGGCGGGTAATCTTGCTTTTCCCTTTATCTATGTTGAGATCTCCTGCTGCTGAGGCTGCTACTACACTGGTCGTCTTCTCTTGCATTTGTTTTGCGTGTGCGATAGAAGAGCCAGATCATCTACGAAGTCGAAATCATCCATCTCTATTCTGGCTGTCCACTGTATACCGTGCTTCGCACCAGATGCTGACATCTTCATAATCCATTCGATCGTCAGGAGAAAGAGGAAGGGTTATAGTAAATAACATTGCCTGACACCGGTCTTTATCTCGCACGAGTCTGTCGGCTGTCCTCTGCGCACGATTTTGCGGTTTAATCAATCTTAAGACTTCCGTATGATATTGACTATCTTCTTAGGCACGCCGTAATGTCCTGTCCACGCTATCAAACACTTGGTCGTAATCAATGAAGTTGATGTAAAGTAGTGTGTTTCACTCAACTGATTGTTCCACAACGATGTGTTATGTTGCTGTTTAGTTGGCACGCGATCGATGCTTACCAAATCTAGCTTGTTGATCTCGAAGTTGGGCATCCACGAAGTATTTCATTCTGTTTAACAACACCCTGTTGAAAACTTTGCCCGGTGTTGAGACAAGAGTGATGGCTCTGTAGTTCTGACTTTTACTAAGATCGCCTTTCTCTGGTATTTTGATGAGGATTCCTTTCCAGTCTGTTGATAATTGTTCTTCATCCTGATTCTTGGTGAAGATAGTGTGGAGTATCTTTGCATTTGCCACTACGACTGCTTTAATTACCTCTACTGAAATGTTTTCTGATCCGGCTATCTTGCCGCTCCTGATTTGTCTGATTGCGATGCTGAGTTCTTCAATTGTTGATGGGCCAACATCTACTGCGATGTCTGTGTATGATGTTTCGATATTGGGTGGGTTCAGTGGAGCTGGTCGATTGAGGAGATCCTTAAAGTGTTCTACCCACCTATTTCGCTGTTCTTGACTGTTGCTGATTACTTTGCCTTCCTTGCTTTTCACTGGTTGTTCTGGTTTACAAGTTTCCAGAGAGCTTCTACGTCGGATCATACAATTGTCTCAAGTTTTCTTCTCTTGCAGCCTTTTCCACCGTCATTGCTAGATCTTCCACATATTTACGTTTGTCAGTTCTGATGCTCCTCTTCACTTCCCTGTTTGCTTCTGTGTATTCAGCTTATGCCTTAACTCCCTCTGCTCTTGTCTGTCAGATGTTGATTGCAGCCTTCTTGTTCTTCCTTTCTTGAATTTTATCAAGAGTACCATTCCTTTTGGTTGTACCTCTTGTGGCAAAATGAGATAAATTTGAAAAAGCGAATTCCTACTGATGTAAATTATTGATTCGATTGTATCATAATATTCAGTTATGGAGAGTATTGGAGATTACTGTTGATCAGTGAATCCTGATTCGGTCAACCGCCATTAGAAACAGTGAAGTACGTGACTGTCGTTTCGTGCCAGTAAGGGAGTCTTTAACAGTACACATCCACAATTCCGCTCGCCGGAATCAAACTCAGGACTTCCGATTTCGTCCGCTAATGCCTAACCTCTAAACTTCTGAGTCGGCATCCAACGGCAATAACGTATAACTTCGATCAATCTAAGGATTTTGCACAGCTCCTCTCATTGTCTCCCGTAGTTACTGCCTACACCCAACACGTATGAACTCGAATGTTCACAGCTTCTCAGTAGAACTCTTAGGAGATTATTATCAGCTTGAATACTTATGTTCAGTGACTGAAACGAAAGGCACTGGATTCTAGTCTGTATGGGTGTATCAGTACTTTGCTGTTGATACATCTGACTGATGAGTCCCATAAGACTTCTACTGCTCTTGCTCGACTGATGTTGAATGCTGCCTACTTCTTCTTCCTCTTTTCATGAATTTTATCAAGAGAAACAGCAGACATCCTTTCCTTGTGTTTGTACGGCTTGTCGCCCAGAACCTCCTGACATGTTGAAGTGATAACCTCCTTGATCCCTTTCCAACTATTCTCCAAGATTTTTTCCTCTATATTAAGTAGATTGTGCAAGGCACGGAACCGATTGCTGAGGGCTATCTTAAAATCGTTCAGCTGTTCAGTATCCCTAATAAACGCTATAATAAACTTTTGTGAAGTTGTGCGCCCTGCTGTCCAGTGTTTCTTGAGTTTCAGTTTCGTTTCGGTGACCAGCAAGTGGTGATCTGAGGCTAAATCAGTTCCTCTCTTGGTTCTCACATCTTCCATGGTCCTTCTGAACGCTTTGCTGATACAGATATGGTCGATTTTGTTCAGAGTAATGTGATCTGGTGAAATCCACGTAGCTTTGTGCATACACTTGTGTGTGAATATTGTGCCACCAATGACCAGTTTGTTGAAGTCACATTGGCATGAAACTCTCTCACTATTTTCGTTTCTTCCTCTCAGTCCATATCATTCTGTGATGTCTTCATATCCAGTGTTGTTCATGCCAACCTTGGCACTTAGGTCTCCCATCAGAATCGTCAAATCCTTTGATGAGCATCTCTCGACGATTGACTGCAGCGTCTAGTAGAATAGATTTTGAACGTCTTCATTGTAGTCATTGGATGACGTTCATTGTAATGCCCTCTTTCTTTATTTTGAAAGATGCTTTGAGTGTATGAGGCACTTTCTTCTTCATAGCCGGAGTACAAAAGCAGCTCTCCTGAAGATAATCTCAGTTGTCCGACTAGCATCCAATAAGTTTCACTGATTCCAAGCACCTCCATGTTGTATCTTCTCATTTCTGCAGTAACTTGGAATGGTCTTCCGGTCTCCCACAATGTTCGAACGTGCTATGTACTTAGAAGAATGGTTGCTCTGGTTGTTAGAAGGGGAAGCGGCACCGTGACTTCCGAAGAAACTTGACTTTCATCATGAGACGTCATAATTGTTCTGAAAGAAGACCTTCTAACTCCCAGGGCAGAGTTAAAATGGTTTGAATTATATTTTCTGGTTAGCCTTTTGTAGCGAGTGTTTTTTGCGGGATCAGGTCGTCAACTGACCATAATAGACTTCGAAGTTTCACAAACCACGTCAAAATGCTCTACTAATTTGAAGTAGCTTCATATGATATTGGAAAGAAATGATTGATAATTCATCTGTCAAATTATTTATAAGACTTTTTTCTGTTTCATACTTGCTAAAATAATTTATCTTATTCATATTTGTTTTGATTGAATATTTAATCTTGAAAATCAAGTTGCCCAGTTCCACAAACCGAATTAAACAGTAGATCAACTATTGGATTCAATTTTCAAACAAATCGATATGACAATGAAAAAGTGTTAATATTTCGACCGACTGATAATCTACATCATTTACAAACTGGTTTATTTCGTTTATTTTCAAATAATCCATTGCCAATTGAATCAGCAATGACAGAAGTATTGGATAAAACAATAACAGCTACAACAAAATCAACAACCGGCACGATTAGTACAAATAAAATAAGCGAAAATTTTACATTGAATGATGTCAGCAGAACAATGAAATTAACTGATCAACAAATGAACATATTAGATGAGACATATAAACGAAAATTGAGTGAAATTGGACATAGATTACATGAATTAAAATTCACTTGTATATTTCGTGTATGTAAACAGTTAGCATGGTGTTCTTGGGTAAGTGTGATTATGAATGTTGCTTTTCTGTGTAGGTTTTTTCTTTAAAATATTTTGGTACTCAACTGGTTTCATCATTTGTTAGGTGTGTACTGCATAACCTATGACATTGTCAGACAAATATCTAATTACACACATTCTCGAATTATTGCTTGCCCTTGATGAAATTTTCAAATGATCAATGACGAGGCGATGGGCGCATTATCTAGTGAAAGAAAAGTCAGAATTTCATCGATAAGACCATAAAACTTGATCCACTGAGTTGGATTAGTCATCCGATATGCTTTTTTAAATTTCGCCTACTCCAACAAGCCATATTTTCTGACAATGGGCAGTAGGTTGGAAAGAAGCTAAGCGTAAGTATACGAAGAGATGGCATTAACTCTTGCAAAAATTGACTTTTGCCTTGAACCGAATTAGCGGTTGTCGACTTTTGGTTAGGGAACTAGGCAATACGTTATTAACTAGTTTTCTTATAGCAATGTGTTTGACCTAATAGGTCATAATGCATTTAAAAAGAATTCATTAACCTGATTTTCTAGTATTTATGACTGATGTGATACTGTAATAATAAGTTTCTGAATTCACTATTTTTACTTGAGTGTTAATTGTTTTTTCACTTTTCCTCCTTGTCTTTCTGACAATAATTTATGATGTAAGTACTTAATGGTGCTGTCATTCTTTTAGTATCACTTAATAATAATAATAACAATAATAATAATAATTATTATTATTGTTTAGTATTGTATAATATAGTAAAAGTATTTGTCTTTAATGAATTCTCTTATAATGACTACGATTCAATTATTCATGATGTGATTTAATTTTCGATAATAAGAAAGCATTTAATTGAGTCTACATCGTTATAATTGTATAGATATGAAGTTATTATCATTATGTAAAGTTTACAAATCATATTTACTGAATGCAAATTAATCATATTCGACAACTCGACATTTCAACCCTTTTTCTTAACATATGCACACACACACACATGATAAGTAGGAAGAGAAGAGAAGTGATCGTTTCTTGTTTAATCATATTTTTTATTTGTTTTCTATAAAATTTCAATGTTAGTTACGTAATATTTTAATCATATTAGATTATTAACTAGACGAACAATGCATGTTATAACTCGTTAGCTGTATGTATTGGAATCTCAGGGTTAAAGTTCATTCGGCGACTTATACCTAAACAACAACGCCTTTGCCAATTAGCTATTGAGTTCAAACAGTTATTGAATTGTGAGGAGATACAAGCGAATTACAATTCAGTGACCAATGACCATATTGTCTCATTAGTTATTTGGATAACATGTTGGACATTTGAAATGAAAGGTGCTGGATGTCACACTAGGGATTAATATCGAAACTAGTTTTTAGGTGTACACAACTGACAAGTTTGAAATAGGATAAATTCTACTACCAACTTCTATTCAATTGAACAAAATAATTTGTTAAAGTGATAACGTCTCCACTGAACGAAAATCTCTGAAATAATTCACAGATTTTGGATCAACCATGAAATCATTGCAATGAACACTTAGCATCAAATTTTGTTTCAATGTCAGTCCAAAATACAATTTAAATCTTGATAAATTACAAAAAATTTATTTAAATTTATTGTTTTATTTATTGTAATCAAAACAATCTGATTGTTTGACTAATTAAAACTAGTAATAAATGAGAGTATATATGTATATATATACAGTGTTTATATGAACACTTATTTATTTATGTGCGTCTACATTCTGTACATTAATTTAAATTAACGTATGACCAAAAATTTGTCTATACATACCTAGATATAGATAGATATATATGGTAGGGGGTATTTTTTATTGAACAATCATTGACTTACCACTACTACTACTACTTCTACTAGTTCTACTAATAATAATACCATACCCAGTTAGGAAACTCTATATCACGCAATAATCAACAATACTTCAGTGAAAAGGTGTGTAAAAGTTATCTAAAATATAATGATCATAAAAAAAGATTTGTAATGTTTATGGTTTTATCAGAAATCTAAAATTTAAAGTATATGATTTGTTGTTGAGAAATTGATTGATTTACAAAGAAAAAGAATATTTCAAAATTTTTTTCACAGAAAACAATCTCCAAGTTCAGTTGTAATGCATTGTTTAATAGTCTAATGTGTTTTCAGGTAGACAAAACACACTAAAATCACACATAAAATATGTATGGCTAGATTGGAAAAGAATGGCGATGGAATTCATTTTACATACAACTATGTCCAAATTACTTAACCAGATAATGTTAATTAACTGATCAACATATTTATCCAGTGGCTGAGAATAAAGCAACAGTTTTTCAAAATTTATGCATAAGAGATGAAATTGTTTAAGATCTAGGTCCGTATTTGCTCATAATCATCATTGAAAACCTACAAATACGAGTGCTTTTTAAAGACTAGCATTTTGAAAGGTTTCTATGACAGCTATGGAGATTAGCGATTTTTGGACATTGAAATCATTAATCAATCATTGTTAGACCACCATTAGAAACCTGGAAGCAATGGAAGACCATTTTGTCCTGCTATGGGACTCATCTGCGGTGCGCATCCATGACTCATGCACCTCGCAGAATTCAAACTTAGGACTCTCGGTCTTGCGAGCAAACGCCCAACCTTTGGACCACTGGGCCGGCATTCAACGGTGTTAATGTCTAACTCTGATCAATCTACAGATTTTACGCGACCTCATCCATTTTGAAATTTCATCAGCTGACCAAATGAAGAACTAGATCGAGTATTCTAGCCGATTAAGGAAGAGTAAACAATGTCACAGTGTCATCTAGTCACTATTATCTATTTCATTTTATTGTATTGATTAGTATATAAATCGTCTTATTATTTAGTCATGGTTAATGAATTGATTGACGGACATTAGGTTAGTGAATAACGTTGGTACACATAGGAAAACAATGATTTCCTCATATTGATATTCATTTTGCTGTGCCATGTCTAAAATAATTAAGTAATAAATTAAAAAAAACCCGAATACCTTTTTCTTTGAATGATTCTGTCTGCTAGTTAGATATTTTTTTGTATGGTTGTCGGATTTTTAAAAAAAGGCATTTCGATTATATGTAATGCTCAATGCAATTGACTTATCGTACAATGAATGACTAGGAGATTTTTAAACGGAAAACCATTGATATAATGAGATAATGAAACAATGGAGGCGCAGAAAAGTACAACTATATAATTACATCATTTTCAGTGAATCCAATATTTACTAAATCATATTTATTACAGTAAAAAATAGGTGTCTTCTGTTCCATCACTGAACAATCATCTGTTTCAACATAAATCTTTATCATGGTAAAGTCAAAAATTACAATGAACAAGCAGTGTTTGTCAATAATTTCAAACGAAACGTATAAGTGAATTTGATGTTTTTTAATGCATCTCATTGAATTCAATCAGAATTTGATCATTTGTCTTCGCATCTCTTTTGTAGTTTATGTGATTCCTTTGTGACATGTTGTATGTGGCACAGATCAGTAAAAATAGTCAATATCATTAATGTGTAATATGCAATTATGTAAAACCATTTATTCACTTTTATTATTATTGTCCACTAAGGCAGGTTCTGTGATTATTGATTTTTAAAAATTATCTAAACAAAAGTGGCTCTCTGAAATTCGGTGAACAATTCACCCTCTCATTCTACAAAATAAAAAGTGACCATACAAATTGGAAATACAGAATTTGATGAAAAACATTGAGACTTGATACATAAATATAAAATTATAATATTAAACTTAAATTCACCATACCTACTACTAGTATAGTGGATACTACTTACAACGAGTCTTGTGTGTAGCATGCAGTGGGGGATAACCTAGAACTTACTACTGAAAAAAAATGATGTCGGATCCGAACGTATAGCACTACAGCACTATCAAAGGAATGTGTAAGCGAATAAAACCAAGAATCTGTTTGTTTTTGTTTAAGTGAAACTTAAAGATTAGATGTACATATTTTGCTAGTTAGTTAAAACTATATTGTCTCTTGCAATAAATCACTTTCTCCATCCGTTCCATGAACGCTTTCTAAAACTATCAACGTCAATTTAATCTTGAATTGTTAGAGTTGATGTATACCGCCGACATGATCATCAACAATGACATACATTGAAAGTCATTGAAAATACACTTTTTTAAAAAAAAATTTCCTTTTTTTGTTATAAATCAATAGAAAGATTCATTTGCATACACAATTAGCCGCTTGAAAACTGTTAGTTAGCATTGAAATGAGTTATTTTTATTGATAACATGATCATATTAAATTAAATTAAATTAAATAATAATATAAATTAAATTTATTTTACTGTATTAAGAAAGATAATATTATTTTTTTAGAAAATTATTTAAATTAATTAAATTATTAGTTCAGTGTTAAATAGAAAATAAAAAAAACTGAGTTTACATTCAATCACTGGCATACATACATATATTTGATCTGTTGTTTTTTTCAATTAAATAATTGGGATAACTTTTTTTCCCACTTTAAAGAAAAAAATAGAATTATTTAGAAATTCGAAGATTATATTGGTGTTATTAGTTAAACGATACAGCATTCGCGTTTAATGAAGAACACAAAATCATTGTATAACTGATTTTTATTCAAAAAGATCTCTAGTTTTCAAATTTACACACATTGTACTTCAGTGTGTAATTGATTCAGTGTAAGATATTGTGTTGCAGTCTTGTTTTCTGAGCTGGATCAAGAAACTGATCAATGGGGAGATACAATCAAAATACAGGTGCAAATAACGACAGATTTAAGATCATTAACAATCAATCAAGTTCGAGGTTAACAAAAGAGGCTACGTTTAGAACATGGAAAAATTCGAATACTTCATTTCTATCTGAAGTTTGTGCTGATGATGTTATTCAGAAAAACAATGAAAGCTCCACAACAAAAACATCCAGCTCAGACGACGAAACACCACCACAATCATCGACCTCAACTACAAATTTTCCCCAGCATCTCAATGTTAGTTATTGTTTAGTTATGTACTCAGGGATTCTATTACAAAGCTGACCATGGGTGATGGACGGAAACAGTCCCCTACAAAGTATATTTAAGTATCCCAATACTACATGAATAACTTACATTCAATAAACATTACAGATTATAACCGATTTTCATTTTGATCATAATATCATGGACAAATAATTCTATAAGTTTAAATGCTTATACTTTAAACTAAAGAAATTTGGTTCACATATTTAAGATTAAATAAACGGGTGATTTTTGAAAGATATATCATTTTATAAATTAACCACTCAAAAAAGTAACTTGAATTCACTCGTTCACGGTTCAATACAACAGCTGAGAAATAAATTTAATCTAGCCATCCTAGTAATAAAATACTTGAGAGGAAAACATTATTTACTGTAAACAGAATAGTGTACATAAAACACGATAATAATTTTATTGAACAGAAAAACATCAAGACAATTTTATGAGGTTCAAAACTTAGCAGTGATTGATTTAAGCAATAACAGTAGTACTAGTAGTGGTAATACCAATAGCTGTAGCAGTGACGTTATTGGCAGTACTATTAATGGGAGTATTAGTGGTAGTAGTGTGAGTAGTGCTAGTAACAGTAGTATCAATAATAGTAGTAGTAGTGATTCATTTATATATATATATATATATATATATATATATATATATATATATATATATATATATATATATATATATATATATATATATATATATATACTTGAATATAGCCACACATACACATCTACTAAGGTAAAGATAGAGCTTTAGACATTTATAAATACATATTTAACCACACCTGTCCACCTAACGATTGTTAAAAATAAATAAATAAAGGTGACAATTTTTGTCATAGAATTGAAAATTTGCTGATACGAACACCAGAAAAAGAAGCGATACAATGCATAGTTTACATTTATGATAACTTGTGATAATAGTTACAATGGCAAGTTGTTGCAGTACATACACAAACACTACTCACACACTCACCACGTACGTATATAAACAAACAAACAGAAAGTTATTAATTCCAAATTTAAAAAAACAACACAAAACAAAACCACATACATGTAGAGTTAGTTAGTGATAGATAGAGAGAGAGAGAGGAGTATAGATGAGAGATAGAATAAGTGAAGTGAAATCGATATAGTAAGTGAATATCAGACAGAAGAGTATTTATTTTCTTTTTGGCAGTGACAGTACAACACTGGACGGAAATCTTTGTAGCCTATAAATAGTAGTAATATATATATATATATATATATATATATATATATATATATATACATATTGAAAAAAAATGTTTACAGTGACTTTCATACGGTATTTTTACTCTCCTCTTTTTATCATTTATGCATTTCCTGTGGATAAATTTTTATTTTTATTTTTTCAATCATAAAATTGTTTATTTTATTATCTTGCCTTTTTTTTAAATGTAAAATAGAAGAGAAAAAAAAATTTTAAGTGTATAAATAAAGATTTTAAAAATAAAAAGACACTGCCTTTTCTATTGATAGTTATTGCAATAACTTGTCAGCGCACCACTGATAAATACTTTTGCTTGTGTACATATAGATTTATGGTTTACAATGAATTTCAAATGTTCCTTTAACATTGAAATAAAAGGCTTGAATAGAAGAGGGGAAAAATGTTTTGAAATATATGAAATAACTTCTTGAAATTATTCAAATCTTTTTTTTCGAAATCACAGAAAAACAAGTAAATTTTCAATCAAGATCTATCTTACTTACTGATGATCATGTACAAAATAGATCGATTATATTTTCATTGTACTTCACAATGTAATCTAATATCTTATCAGTCTAATTGTATTATGGCCATCTATTAGTGTAAATGATTAAACAGTGCGTTGATTTCTGGTTGAGCTGTTTGATAGTTGGTGATCATTCACTTGATGTGGACATTAGTCAACAATATTGATTGATACTCCCTAAAGGAAATGGTTCTTCGCTCAACACTGATAAGAAATCGATATATATGATATAATTCACTACTCTAGGATTAATCACTTGTAAAACAGTCAAAAAAGCTCAGTGATAACACAACTGGAATTGTGAAACTGAAAGAGCACCAGTTCTCTTGAGACTTTAGATGTGTCTTGTTGTTACTAGGTACAAAAACACAAAAACTAGATCCAGGAGGAATTATTGTCGAATTAAGATCCTATGCAGTAAAACAGGTGACATTATTGTTATTTTATTCAGATTAAGTAGTTTTCGGTATTCTTGGGTTTTGAGACTGTATCTCATGTGTTTTGTTACGAATTGTATTTAATAGTTAAGAGATTATAAAGTAATTAGACCATAGTTTAACACACTGACCTATACCTAGTTACATATTTTGTAAGTTTAGTTTCCTTCGCAAATTTTTCAAGTATATATTTTAAAAAAAGTATTGAACAAATGAACTTCTTTTTCTTACTTTTCCTTAAAACTCTTAAACGGTTTTGTAACAAGCTGGTCTTGCAAATGCAAACATCTGGATGATTTCAATTGGTGTTTTGTCTAGATTGGTTTAAGTTTAAGTTTTGATCGAATTTCGAGGCCAGAGAACAGTCAATAGCATGGAATTCATCAGCAATGTGCACCCAAGACAAAGAAGGATGTTGAAGTAAACAATTTAGGTCTCGCGGACAACATGAAATAATTAGAATCTTTTGTCCGACATTCAATAGCATGCTCTCAACTTCAGTCATTTTGTAATATAGTATAGAAATTACTCCAGCAAATTGGTGGCATTTCTTTCACTTCTAATGTTTCTGAGCTTCACCAGTCATAAAGTTCGCATAGCTATGGGGTACCATAGTAGAATAAAAGAATTGCTCACTGCATCCTGAGTTTCAATAATGGCCTAATTGAGATCGAAATTTCAAGAATATAAACTACTAATAAATTACTTTTCAAGTTGTTCTCATTGAGTAAATCAGTTCTTAATTAATTAATCATATCATACTTCTAACTTTAATTATTATTCATTTTGTAGCCTTCCGCATGTGATTCAACTGTATCAACTTTGAACAATCCTAGAATTACGTTTTTACCGCCAAGTCTACGAATCATACAACGTTCTACACCATTATACTTAATTGAAAGCATTCCAGGTAGTCATTTGCCAGTGAAAAAACAAGGTATGTCCTAAATTAAACAATGAGTAACATTTTTTTTTAAATTCAATGTATCGAAATTAGTGTGTGACAAAGTCACATTGCATGCTGAATGAAAAGAAGGGAGAATAAAGTGAACAGTTTTCGCATTCAATGTTTTGTAAGAATTAAATGATTTGTGCAAGAAAAGACGATCAGTGTAGCAACAGACTCAGTAGCAGAAGGTATCAACATACATAAGGGAAAAATTAAGATTCTACGATACAACAGAGCATGCATCAACCAAATCACGCTTGATGGAGGTTCTTTGGAGGACGTTGACACCTTTACATATCTGGGCATCATCATCGACAATCAAGGTTGTTTCGACACAGATGTAGGGGCGTGGATCGGCAAAGCAAGGGCTGCATTTCTACAACTGAAAAATATATGGAACTCCAAACAAATACCAATCAACACCAAAATCAGGATCTTCAATACAAATGTCAAGACAGTTCTGCTGTATGGAGCGGAAACTTAGAGAACTACGAAAGCCATCATCTAGAACATACAAGTATTTATGAACAGTTGCCTACTCAAAATACTTCAGATCCGTTGATCAGACATGATCAGCAACAACCTAATGTGAGTGAGGACAAACCAGATTCTAGCCGAGGAGGAAATCAGGAAAAAGCGGTGGAAGTGGATAGGACACACATTCAGGAAAGCACTAAACTGCATCACAAAACAAGTCCTCACTTGGAACACTCAAGTTCAAAGGAAAAGAGGAAGGCCAAGGAACACTATATTCCGAGAAATGGGGGCAGACATGAGAAGACTGAACAAAATTGGACAGAACTGGAAAGAGAGTCTCAGGACAAAGTAAGTTGGAAAATACTGGTGGGAGGCCTATGCTCCATTGTGGGTAACAGGCATAAGTACGTAAGTAAGTAAATGGTTTGTAATACATCAGTTTAGGCGTAGTTATTTTTTTGTAAATTTTTATAAATCCTGTTCACGAACATCAAATATCAAATTTCTGTTTGGTACATTGATGTTATTCAAACACGTGATAAATATTTCGTCAAAAGATGTCAAGATTTGAACTGTGATGGATTGTTTAAGATAACGAGAACAAAGCAGGGACTCAGAAGTTAAATGATGCAGTTTCGAATCAGTACGATTCACTTTTGAATTCTTCATCACAAAATGTGTTTATGGTAATCAGTTAGTGTTATTGAGCTGAAGTATACTGAACACGTTGATTAATTAGTATTTTTAATATCATGGTTTAGATAACAAACTGATCATAGTTATACTACAAATGAGGATCAAGATGCACTATACAGGTTTTTATACAGTTCGCAGTCTTATAAGCAGACACATTCAATTGGTGGGTACCGAATTCAGCGAAAACAGCATGTTTGAACCTACTGATAGCCACATTCGATGAATTTAAAATTAGCTGAAATTAGTTGATTTTTGACATGTATTATGTATGTCCAACTACCTCGTACACCAAGATGCGTCACCAGTTGACGTGAAAACTGTTTGTAAGAAATTAAGAAATATTAAACTAAGGCTCTTGATCGTCAGTCAGTCAGTCATACAAGGTAGAATGTCGTACGTCAGTACATCAGTTCACATTGCCATACCACATTAGCACGGAGACGTAATTTTCAGTTCAAATCCCATAGTGGTACAGATAGTAGACGTATTAGCGATAATGTAGAAGACCAGGGTTCAAAGATATTATTCAAGAAGTGAAAAAAACAGTAGAAAAACGATGATATAGGTGATGACGAATTCAGGTTAGAATAACAGAGAAGACAAAGAGTGGATGCACCTTTGCCATTGCAAACAATTTTGAGCCATGTCATTCAGGTCTCTAACCAAAGATTACCATCATCTCGTGATCCCCAACCAGGTAGTCGACTCCTGTCAACATGACTTCATGGATGTGTGACATGTTTTGGTCTGGCCGTCCCAAGCTTTCTTCCAACATTGCAAAACAGCCCGACGAGGCAATCAATGGTTAGGCATACGCAACACATGTCCCACACAGGGTGTTGCTTGAAGAACCTGAAGAGGAAGGTAGATTTATGTTGCTCTTAGAGACCTGGGATAGTGACCTCAGAGTCCATGTGACAACTGGTTGAGGCCGGTTACGCACAGCCTTTTTATGGGTAGTATTTAAAGTGCTAGCTCCATTCTTGTTGAAAAGGCCTGACCGCCAGAAACGGAAATACGTGAGGTAGGTTGAGGTGTAACATTTTTAGGGTGAATCTTTTCTAACCCTTCCTTCCTTATGAGAAAGCTGCATCGCTGCACATGCTGGTTGTCCGAGAGAAAACTTTGCCCTCAGATATTGAGTATATATTTTTAGTCTCATCGTTCTCTAATCGACCTGCCTGGCATGGTAATATCTACAGGAACATATGTTCCAGCCAATATAGATCGGTTGGGTCATCATGATAGGCAAGCCCGACCACAACAACAAGGTAGCACCTATTGTTTGGACGCTCTTGATTGACTTGAATAGTATAGAATGATATAGAATTCCTGAATATTTTCAGCTTGTTAATTATCACCACTAGATAGAAACTATAGATCACATGGATTGAAGCCTATCTCAATGATGAGAATTTTACATTTTTATCATTCCATCCTTTAGGATACAGGTTTTGATTTTTTCTTTTTGATTTAATTCGTCTCTGTTTATTTCTTTTCAACTATTGTCAATATACTCTGAAATCATGAATCAATGAATTTTAGACCACTATTAGAAACTTGGAAGCACTGAATTTTTGCCAAACAGAACCGAAGATCTTAGATTCGATTCGTGAGAGCGGAGTTTACGGATGGACACAGCTAATGAATCCCATACCAAGACGAGACGGTCGCCTAGTGCTCCTAGTTTTCTGATGGTAATCTAACAATGATTGATTCATGATTTCAAAGTAAACTCAACAATCTCTACATCCCTGTAATGAATATTGTTTATGTTACTAGTTTTTCAGCATTTTTATTTTATTAATTCGACCTATTTCAATGTAGTAAGGCGAATTCAGATAATGTACATGTATTTTAGACTTCTTCTTTTTGTGACTATATATAAATGACTGTTAAAGTTGACAAGATATTGTAAAGCAAGCATTGAATAAAATATATAACCTACTTTCTAATTATGGAGGGAAAATATACTATTCATTAAAATAGAAATTATACAAACTCTATAGGCAATTGTTATCAAGTTCAAACTATACTGATTTATCATATATTTATATGTATTTGATTATACTGTAATATAATTGAATATTTTCTTTTTACAGTTGCATCAAAAATTTGTAAAGAGTTATTTTGCTCAAATACAATACATATGATATTAATAATGGGTTTAGTCGGTATATTAACTTGTTTAATGGGTGTTATGGGTATGTTGTTAGCTCGTAAATATCGTCATCAATTAAATCAAACAAGAAATACATTTATACAATCAAAATCAATGGCGAAAAAGAATCATTGTTCACCGCATAGCGAAACAAATTTACAATATTTAATACATAATCCACAATGTCAATCAGATCAACAAATTGATAGTGAAATATTAAAAAATCTTTTAACAAATGATCATCATATCAATAATACTCATACTAGTACTAATACTAATACTAATAATAATCATGATCATTTATATGCATTGAATATAAAAGATTGTTGTAAACATTGGTTAAATGAACATTGTTATGCTAATCCTTTATTGTTACGAAGATCACCAACTTTTGATTTGTCTTTGTATCATCAACATCAGCAACACCAACAACAGCAGCAACAACATCCACTTTATCAACATTCACAAGGTCATCATCACCAACAACAACAGTCATTGCAACATCAACTCCTGCAACAACCATCACAAATGTCCACATCCTCTTTATTAATGAAACCAAATCAATGTTCTTGTTTCAATGAGACATTATTTAATGATAATAAAATAATGCAAAATATGCATAATATTTATACATTGAAAAGTGGTTACACCACATTACCAATAACAACAATGAGAGCAGCAGCAACAACAACAACGGTGACATCAAACACATTTACATCATTTAAATCAACAGGGAATTTTAGTCAAGATGATAATTATGCATTGATGAATAGGACAACTATAGCAACATTTCTGTTAGAGCCAACACATATAATGATGAGTAGTAATACTACTACTACTACTACTACTACTACTGCCACTGTTACTACCAATCATGATAATACACATAAGTGTAACAATAATAATACTGTAAATACAATAAGTACTATTCATGAATTGATACCGACATCATATCCTACAACACTTTTAAGTAGTAGCAGTAGTAGTAGTGGTATGAGTAATAATAATAATAATAATAATAATAATAATAATAATAATAATTGCAGTAATAATATCAATTCAATAATTTATTGTTCAGATCAACTGGTCAATTGTTATCCACCTTCCTCATTAAAATTTCACAATACTGTTGAACATAAACAACATGAATTGTTTCGAGATGGTGTAGTTGTATTTCAAGAAAACCATTCTATGAATTCGAACAATAATGAGATGATAAATGGTAATCGAAATTATACACTTAAAAATTTATCATTTACCAATGATAAATTCGATAATTCATCATTGCACCAATCACCATTAGCACTACCACAGCCACAACCACAACCACAACAACATTATCAAAAATTGTCTAGTTTAAATGATACAATTTATTTTGGTATAGATTATCATAATTCTTATAATTGTACATTGAATCCATCAGCCATAGAATCGACATTATGTTCTAATGAATCACAACAAAATTATCCACGACCAAATTTGAAACAACCATCGTTGGGACAACAACAACAGCACTTGGCAAGTTAAAATGTACCCATGAATAATAGTGTAAGTATTTTAATTGCATATGAGAATGATCATCATTTTGCCAGTGTTTAATAGACGTTTAATATCTAGCGTTTCTTAGCACATCCTTCTCGATTGTTTAGTATGTTATTGTAGCATATAATTATATAAGAGTAATTTGTTAATAGGTTTTGTTAACTTACACTTATCATTACATCTGTGATGAATGTGGATGATGATTGGAATAAACATGGTGAATTAATAATTTACCTGTCAAACTAATATAAGCTGGATCTTTTTTTCTAATGAATCTATTAGCATGCATGATATACTACTGGAAATCCTTGAGTATATTTGAAATTGTTGATAATCATCCAAATACATTGAAATCAATGAACATTTATCATTTAGGTAGCCTCAACAAGAAAGAAAGGCTGTAGGCAATTGGAGGCGAAAAGAGAAGAGCAGTTGCAAAGAAAACGTGACACTAACGAATGGAAAGAAAGTAAGAAATAGATAGGCAGATTTCGGTATAACCATACAAAAGGAAATAGACAGTCATGGCCCAAGTAGTATTGGATGTACTGAATAATTACCGAGTAATAAAATTAGCTTTGCAAATAAGTCGTCAGTTGAATTATTACAAATGAAGTAATGTGTCGACCCCCCCCCCCCTGACTAGTTACGCCATACTTTATGGTTATCATTCTGGCCCAACTAAGCCAGACCTAGTGATTCTATCTAGGTGGAATCCAGATTGTTCCAAAATACAATTTCTACAAACGCACTGCCACACCTAACTTTACGACTGCACTCTTCTCGCAATCCAGAGTTTAGATAGAGTAAGGGACTAGCCCATCTGCCCATGGCAACGTGCGTTAGCTTGCAGGGAGATCAGTCCCCAATACTCGGGGAGTACAATTCGGATTATGCTCCTCAAGACTTATTGAGGCATTTAATAATAAACAGTAATAACGTATAACTAATCATAGAGTAGGTAACTGTTTCAGATGTATTATTTATCACAATAATTGTAATTTATCTTGTTTCATTTAGTTTGCATAATATTGATTGTGGTGATTTCGAGAATGAAATAGTTATCATTGATAGTATTCAATAAAGGTCAAGTCGGATCACGTTTTAGTCAGAATTGTTATCACAAATTATTGATTTTTGGCCTCATTGCTCCATAGAATATCATTGGGTATGAAACGTAAGAGGCTCATTGGTTCAATCTAGTGTTTGGTATCATTGAAACTTATTTGAGAGAATGTTATTAGTTAATTATAACAATGAAATATATTACATAAAAAAAGTACAAATTTATGGTGTAATGACAGGTGTACTAGGTTAAGCAAGTATAATGAAGGCTTGAATTATTGTTTTATAAAAGGAAATAAGTTAAACGACTAGAACAAGATACTAGAACAATATTCATCAAAAGTAATTAAACTGAGTGATAAATGTTCAGATAATCGAACACTGAAGCGTATATTCAAGAAAAGGAGATGGCGAAAAACGAACTAACAAAAGGAGTACCAAACTAATAATGAATATCACTGTTTGTTAAGACCGTTTCGGTCATAAAAGAGGAATGTTATAAACATGAAGACTTAGTTTGTTAGCTCAAATTCTCATTACTTTTGGTTATGTGTAGGAGACAAGAACGAACTCCATAAGGAAAGCTACAATAAATTTATCGAAAAGATTTATTTCTATCCACTATGTGATTGTTATTAATCAAATTTAACAGGACGAAGCTGCATATTTCTTTGGTTATATCCCTTCCTGACAACTATTGCCGACGTTCGCCTATTTTTTTATCTGAGTTGTCTAGTCCAATATGGCTTTTTCCAAAAGGGCAGCTGAATATTTAGCTACACATGGATTTAGCAAAAACCATGCATCATAACTTTTAGTTGACGACTCACAATAATTCGGCTGAAAAGAGCGACAGACTAAAACTAGCTTTATTAAACGGTCTCCTCATTACATTGGTCAGTCTATCTCGTAGTAGATTAACAGTTTCAAGAAGATCTATTTTTCACAAACAGTTGATGACGTTATTTAATTGTTCATTTCTTGGAAAAACTTTGTAGATAATCGATTTTAGTCAACATACAATGCTCTAGTTCCCTGTTTACGGTGTCATCTATGCGTATATATATATATATTACTCAAAAAGAATTGGAGAATTGTTACATTACTTAACAGAGTAGTAGAAAATTACAAAGCGATTTCAACAATTGAATAATAAAAAAAATAAAGACACCTTACGTCATTAGAAAAAGTAGTTGCAAAACATCATCAAACATTCTTTTAAGTACCAACTAATTATAACTTACGTAAATAGTCTTAGGGAATGTAAAACAGATAATAGTCTACTAAACCAAATGTATCAAGAAGTGAAAGAATGAAAAGTAAATAATGACACCAACAATTTATTGGAATTCAGTGTAATAAAAACCCACTAACTAGAAATGATCGATCACTTTTTGTATACAAAGATCAGGTATGAATGAATTGGGGAATTGATGTAGTGTCAAACAAGCAAACCTTGTTTGATGAGGTAATTTTGTCCGTGAATAATAATTCTGACTGACAACAAGTGACTATATTAATCATAGTTACATACAAGTACTGATATGTCGATGAATTTGTATTACTTCTGTAGATAGTTATGCAGTTTTTATATTATTGATATGTTTGAAATTATTACGAGTTCACCTTACTCGGTTAACGAACGGAAACAATGACTCAGTGATACGATAAATTATTTTAATCTGTTGTCCCAGGCCCGGCTAACTATTATAGCAAGAAGTCTTGATAAGGAGTAGTGACTGTATTCTACAAGCACTCAGAAACTACAAAGTTGCTAATCACACAAATCAAGCTTATTAATGCAATGATAGGAACGCCCCTGGGAGAGCCACAAAGTAGCGTACTAAAGTAATCCATCAACCGATGACAGTCAAGGAGGGAAGTGTGATCTCAAGGTCAAATGAGCGACTTGTGCGCGAAAACGATAAAAAAATTCCAAAATTAGGACCATTTTCAAGGGAGTTCTGGGGATCCAACATCCTCAATATACATACATTACATACTTACATAACCAGTTTATCCATTTTTTTTACTTGAATCTTATTTTTGTTTTAGGATGGTTATGTCGAAAACAACTTTAAAAATAAGTTTATTTGAAGATAAAACAACCTGTTCATCAATACTTTGTTGCAATCTTCACTAATGAACAAATATATCGGAGAAACCAACAATTTGAATTTACTAAACGCGATCAATATGCAATAAATTTTGTTTTGTTTAATGATATCGCTCACTTTTTAAATTGTACATAATGTGCACATATTACTAACAAACTTATAAGTAGCTAGCTAATAAATATTTGTAAAATGTATATTGAACAGTATCCACTTTTTTTTAAATAATTTGTACAAAAAGAGAATAGTTTTCTGAATTAATGGTTGTGCACTAATTTTGATAATTGTTTATAATGAATATCTCACACTAAAACACAAATAATACACACACAAGAATACACATGTATACATTTACACACGCATATCTATCTATATACATGTACACAAATGTGTGATTCAATCTTTTTTTTGTAGAGAAGTGCAAGAATATGACTCTCGGGACAGCGAATGATTTTTGCGTGTTTTTTGATTGGTTAAACAAAAAAAGGACTATCTATAATAATACTTTATGTTATAAATGTCACTAGTAATATTTTGCATTGAAAAAAGAATAGTACACTTTTTAAATTGATTATATTTGTGTTGATCTTTTTCCAGGAAAAAACAAACAAACATACAACTTACTATACGTTCTTCTGTGTTCTTAAATAAACTGTACATAATATTCTTATTTGACATAATTACACAATGGTCATTCATTATTGTAAGGATCAAAAATATAGCCTTATCATCATAAGAAATGAGGATAATATTCTCCGTAGTACATAATAACTACAAAACGATTAAGAATCGAAACCAGGATTTAAAGGTTTTACGGTGAGCACCTAAATATTAGACCATTAAGTTAGCATCGGACAATCTACATTTCCAACTTAAGCCAATCATTTAAAATACCACACGATGTCACATTATTTAGTCGTATACAATGCGGCTGCACTCAAAACTAACGATTTCTCATCAGGACTCCATGAATCACTTGGCTAAATTACTCAGCATATGATTATTAGCAATATAAGAGGTTTGTACAGGTTGTTGATCATTTCCTCCTACTTGTAGAATCTTTTCGCTGTAGTTGAAATACAGTCAGTAGGAAAAATGAATCAACTTTGAGCTGTGACTATACTGGTGTTTGGTGGTTGAAAGTAAATGCCAGTCATCACCTGTTGCCAGAAATTGTTAGTGATGTTAATTTTGAAACAAACGTAAGGAGAGTCGGTACCCACAGGTATAAAAACATATCCTATTAATGATTGTTACAGTGAATAGCAAAAAAGATAGAAATATAATGTAGGAAGAGATTTAAATCGATGATAAGGTAAGTTATAAAAATATAATAAAGTAATCGTAGATCATTCGAAAACAGGAAGAAACCAATTTATTTTAAAAGGTTAACAAAAAAGGGTGTTAAATTTTTCGACAACAGTTAACTTAACAGCATTGAGTTTCGTATAATGAAGGCTATAATTTAAAGCCTTTATTATCACTAACGAATTTAGATTGGGAATAAAGAAGATTCCATTCTTACGGAAAAAATGGATGGTGATATGCTTAATTAAAAAGTTTAAAGTCATAAGTTTAGTGCTAATTGAATTGTATCCTACTGAGTAGTTCCATACAAGAATGAAATAGCTGCTGATTTCAATAGTGGTCTAATATAGATCTTTTTATGATTTCATTTATTAAAAACAGTTGTCCGCCGACTGTGAGGTTGGATAGTTGCTAGCAGTCAAATTTAGAAAACTAGTCTTGCCTTATTTGGACGCACATCATCGGGATTTACCCGGAAAGCAGAAGTAGAAGCTCTTCATATTGGAACTTGAGACTAGTATCTATTAACTCCACTGAACAATTGAATTCAAATAGCAATGAACTTGTTCAACGAGTAAGAAGCTGTTTTAGTGGTTGATTTAAATTTGAAGTAGGGCTCATCACTTTAGTGGCAAATGATCTGATTCTAACTTTTACGAAATAAATCATAGTTTCAGTTTCCGTATATTATACCCAGGCGAACCCAGTTTGTGCGATGTTGGTAATAAGAAACCCAATATGGATTCGGTTAACTGAGCTCAGTTCAAACAATCGTCCATGCAGTGACATATGAGAATAAAGAGCGTTATATCATAGGGAAGTGAAGTGAAGAAGGTGGATAATGCAATTAGGAATGACTAAGTATTTATAGTAAAACAAAATTAGCCAGACATGCAATAAGCGAGTTAAAAGTGCACACATATATTTGAATAAAAACGACCCAGAATGAGCGAATGATGACAGGATCGGAAAATGTGTAAATAATAAGTTGTTAAGAATGGAATTGAATAAATTATCCAGTAAGCTCGACATAAAAGTACACACACTACACTGTACAAGTTATTTATAATAAAATATGCATATTATTATTCACCTAGTGTTTCCCATAAAATCTACATCACATGCACTAACACAGTATAGTTGTAATTATTATGAAATATATAGTGCTGATATTTGTAGGTTACTGGTTTTCGATCATGGTTATCTCCGAAGTATTGCTCGAATATCATTGGATCACTGAGTAGGCTATGGTTTAGATAGGTAAGGCTAATTGAATGTCCATCAGGTGAGGTTGTTGGGATGTGTTATGTTTTGCGATGTAGCAATAGATTGGAAGAAAGCCAGGGGCGGCTAAGCCAAAACAAGACACAAATCCATGAAGTCACTGACAAGTGAACTGAGTCATATTGGTTGGTGTAGATTGCCTGGTTGGGGTCCGCAAGACGATAGTAACCGATGGTTGAAGACCTTGTATGACAGACAGATACAACGCAGAACATCGTACGTAAATACATCAGTTCAGGTTGCCTTGAATGACACAGCTCAAAATCGTTTGCATCGACACAAGTGCATCCATTCTGTCATCTCTCAAACTCTAATCCCACGAATACCTCATCTTTATCTTTATCTTTTTGAGTTTATTTCACAGGATTATACTTCTTGAATAACATCTCCTCTATTACAGCTAATACTTCTACTACATCTACCACTATGGGATTCAAATTGATGATTCCATCTTTGCGCGCTTATGAGGTATGGCAACTTGAACTGATATATGGACGTACGAAGTACTACGTTATTGCTGATTGACTGTCGAATTGCCGTTTCCGCATACTCACTATATAGTGAGTAGTATGGCTCTACCACGTGCTACTGTAGAAAATTATAAATTACTGCAATTCACTGATCATATTTATTTTTAAAATTTAGCAGTTGATTTATCGTTCGCAATCTTTATAATATACAGTATACGTCACCTTTTTCTTCATAATAACTGTTAAATAGACCACTTCTATATACATAGAAACTATGTCGATCATGTGACAGTGATGTCAAAGCTTATAATCTCTGATTAGTAAAATTAGTCAATACGTGAAATAGTTAAGACATTAATAACTGATTTTGGAATGAGGGAAATCGGTAAAGCACACCTATTTCCTAAACATTTAATAAAACTTAGAATATTTTTATTAAATCTACTTGTATAATTTCTTGAATGCAATTGCATCATGCCGTGCATATAGTTTTGGTAGATAGAAGTACTATTTACAACATGGATAATATTTAAGCATAATAATAATCGAGCAAAATTTTTAAGCCGACTTATGTTGTTCGCCAAATCTGATTACTTATATATTTAAAAGTAGTCAAATTAGCTAATAAAAAAAAGGCATATGGTTTTGCAGGTTGTTAGTTGATATATAACTAATATAGTTTTAAATCTCACAGTTTTTCTCCTATAGTACTCATTCACATAACATTACCGACAGTTTTTCTAATTTTGGTTCTAAAGAATAAAGAGTTGAGTCCAACTTACAAATGAACGTCACGCTTATTGAACAATGGATTCCATTGAATTTTCATAAACACTAATTAATTAGGGTTCGAACTTTTCTATGCAATTCTCAGTGTGAATATGAAAACATAGATGTTGGATAATTCCATTAAACAGCCATAAAAATTATGAAATTCAGTTCCTGGTTGCTACTTTCAGCCACAATTCAACTATACAACAAAGTTTGATATGTAATATTCAAAAATGATTTTTCATTAGAACATTTTCAGATATTTTTTTTATTTTTTTTATTCAGAAAATTCATATTGACCTAATAACTGATGTAAAAAAAAAGTGAATTCTGCAAAATTTATTAGTTGTTAAACATAGGAAAATGTAAATCTGATAATTTTTCACAAAATCTCAACCAAATTGATCAAGAAACTTTTATCAGTGATAAATGATACAGTGATTGGTACTTTTTCTAATCGTAGACTCATAACTTTGAGCGTTAATTTGGCTTGTCTGTATTAATGTTACGACTGAGCTATATTGAGTGAAAAAATTATTTCTATGAATTCTCCTACCATGTCAGGCAGGTTGGCTGAAAAGTGGTTAAGGAAAGGAAAGGAAAGGAAGGAAAAACGTAACCCTCAAAAATAACACCCATTACACTAAGAGCTTCTGACAGTGGAAGTTATTTCATGTACATACATATATACATTATAGTCCAACTCGACAATGAAGGATGATCACAACATACAAAAAAAAGTATAATACTGTGGAGAAATAAATGAGTCTGAAAAAACGTACAAGCACAAAAATAAATAACCAATTGAAGAAGAATTCTATAAAGTAAGATATATAGTGCAGATTTAAAAAAAAAAAGTATTCATACATGTGTTATTTTCATCTATTCAGTAAAAAAAATATAAAAGCAGACAAAATTAATATACCGGTTCCATAAGTATAATACTTTATATTGGTTTCATCAATAGTAGACATTTTCTCAGTCAAATTTTCAACAGGTAATTGAACACCTTTAACATCAGAAAGCTAAGAAATTTATTGAAAAAAAAAAAGTGGAGACAAAATAAGATTAAATGCAAATACATTTTAATTGAGTGAAAATGTTTAAAACTTTAGTATTGTGATCTAACTAATTAATTAAATAACAATTATTTTTATCGGTTTACAAACTAATTGAAGGATAAATGAAGAGATATATCGACCAATAAGAAAGAGAACAGTCAGTTGACGACCAACCAATAAAATACGAGCAGGAGAATTGATGATATGATTGATATATGACATGATATATCATATCACACTGAGACATAATTCAGGGAAGTCTGTTGAGAATTGAATATTCACCTTTCAAACTTTCTAACATTAATATGATTAGAATTATTCTGTGCAATTCAGCTTTATAAACATTGGTTTCGCCAGCAAATTAGTCATTAAGCAGAGATTATTATTTTTGTTATATATATATATACTTGAGGAGCTGACAACTTCTTCAGATAAAGATTTTGAATTATTTCATCATATATTACTGTCTTATGACGGCTATTTCATAAAGATCTAAGTATTATGAACAGAAATTTCGCAGATACGAGAATCAATTTTCTGTTAGTAAATCCTGGTTACAGCTTTTTCATGTGGAACGTTCCCTTTACAACTGTTTTTAAATAAATCATAAGTTCGATCATATTGCAAATTCACATGAAGAGATTTCTTCGAAACGAAATTCCTAGATTCTTTGTTCCGACTTTCTTTCAGATTTTTCTATATGAAGCGGGTTACATAACCGTTTCTAGCCAACACTTTTTCAGTATTATAGATCTTACCTATTCGGTAACAGAAATAAGATTCCTCTTTCTGTTTTAATGTAACACAACTATAGAAGTTGGTTAGTTAGCTGGTCATTCCATATGTTGTTCTATGTAAATGAGTTTGCTTACAAATCCATCAGCCTTTCATGTCGGAAGCATATCAAGAAATTATACAAATAACCTATTTTAATTTCTAACGTGAAATCTAAGGTAGGATGCGAGCAATAACATCTCTCTTACTGTATACACCTAGCTGACACACAATTGAATCCACCTGGAACCATCAATTCCATCTCGAAATTACTGGTACACATTGGTGGGGAGTGCTAAAAAGCAGAAAAACCTAGGTTGAGCAAGGTATAATATTCAACAACTCACTAGCTTAAGATTAACTATTTATTATTTTTTTTCTAATCTCTTCCCAAATGTTGTTGTCATTGTCAATTAGTAGAATGAAAACTATTTATGAAAACAAAAAGTTTTATACAAAAAAATCAATGCAATCATTGCAATTTACCATTTCGATATTCCTGTTCATTAAATGCAAATTTTCTTTCATTGTTTTTAACGACTAGTGTTAAAATAATAAAAGATGACAAAACAAAGAACAATAAAATAAAAAAGAAAAAAATTAGTCATGAATTGATGCTTAAACAAAAAATTTAGTTTACGGATGAGTTAGTTGGTTGACAGTTAAGTGGCTAACCTGCAATAATGTTCAGTATCTTAGATCTGGATGAAATACGCACATGCCCTTCAAACTGACTACTTGAGAGAGAAGGCAAGAGTTGAAGAGAAAGTCTATTCGGCTACCGAATCCTTTACTCATTCACGCATATACATACATCCTCCTTAGAAAATGAGTTCATTTCTTGAACCAGTGACATGCATTTGTTATTCGGTCATCAACGAAAATGTCAGAACCAGATGAAATTGAACTATATTTAGAGAGGACACAGTTTACCAACAAAATATGTACACCTAATCTTCAGATTTTCATTTGCAAAACAAGCAGATTATTGGCTGTCTTCTTAGACACATGTCTTTTGGTCTTCAAGACATTTTTCTTGCGCTATGCATTCCGAGCCCACACGATTCTTTCCAGTAATAACCTCTAGGCAACAGTCTGCTGTATATTACTTAGAAACGACGTTGCTAGCAGTATCCACCGTACTACTACTACTACTACTATCACAATGCCTACATTGAGACAAAGTAGGGTTCTCCGACTGTAACTTAGTCTTTAAGAGTTGAACAACCCTAATCAATTAACTACCGTTTCATTAGAAATAGATCAACAAGCCAAAATTCAATCCAAAATCAACTGTATATTTGTGAATGGGGAAACTAGAAGAAACAACGTTCACTTACAATCGATGCAACTTTTTTTTTAAAAAAAAAAGAGGTTAACAATAAAAACTTACATCATTCAAAGTATTTTTCATGATATTTAAATCATCCAATGTTTTTTTTAATCTCTACAATGTAAATAAGTTGTTTTTTTTTTCATTTATACCTATAGAATAAGAATTACGTGTAACTACTAAGTAACAAATGAATAGTCAATTCATACTTGTAAGAAGAGATTTTATCATGGATAGTTGTCAGTTGTTTAGGGAAAATCATGGACAGCTGTTTAGATATATAAGACACTATAACACTTGGCTCTCATGATATGTATCTCCGCAGACTGAAACCTTAGCTGATGTTGAAAATTAATTCCTAAAACTTATTTAGGTAAGTAGGAATTATATTTTTATGGAACGAAAAATTACACAGAATTTGTCTTTGAATGTAGATTATCATCACATTTGAAAAAAAGAGTTGATTTTCATCTGTTAAGTACAATTCACATGAATACAGAGATGCACTTTGTATAAGCTCGTCTAACTAGTCAAGTAAGTGAGAAGATTGATCAATAAGTAGAGTGGGGTAACTGGTACAAATTAGGTATAAAAATCATTGAACCCAAACAAAGAAATGGAACCGGAGAACTTGAGTAGGTTCGTTATCAATTTCCTACAACAATGTACCATGTTTACAATTCTTCGTTTGCCATATGATAATGAAGCGGTATGTGAACACAAGTACGTAGTAGTATGTCTAGACTCATCCAATATAACATTATCATTATAAACTAATACCCGTAGCTATCTTGTTCCAATTTGACAGTGTTCATCAAAGAGAGAGTAACTGCAAACCTTTCTATGAAGGATCAAATACCAGTAAACCCACACATCATAAAATCCATTTGTTCATATTTTCAACTTCAGTTTGATTGTATGATAAACATGTGATGCTCATTTAATATCCATTGATGAGTTACTAGCTACACCATTCTATGGAACTTGTCAAGTCACATTGGTCACGAAATTTCTTTTCATAATCTAGTAAGAATGTCATTTCGAAATTGCGTTTGTCACAGCAGTTACATAATTATTTTTATTCAAACGCTATTTAGTTTTAATAAACTGTACACCAAACGTTCCCAACATTGTTTTTTAACTGAATTGGGCAGTGATCAACAGAAGAGTCAAAGATGCATATTTCGTTCTATATGGAGCTCATCAGCCAACCGGATGTTGTATGTGCACATCCAAGTATTGATGTTTACATTGAAACTCAAACTAAATATAATTTGCTTTGAATGTACAAAAACTCTGCCTGGAACACGTTAAGGGTTTCTGCCGGTCGCAAGTTGGGATAAAGGAGGAGGGTTAGGCATAGGGTTAGTGACCCCATCCCGCAGAAAACCAACTTGCTAAAACAAACGCTAACCAGAACAAATAATTCATATCATTTAAACTCTGAGCTGAGAAATGGACATTTTTTTGCTAGTCGGCTGCCCCTATGCTCCATAAGGGGAATAACAGGGGTGAGAAAGTAGGTAGATTAAGTGTACATCGAACTATCCAATGGATCATATATATACACCAGAAAAAAAACCTTGATCAATCACAGTGAGGACGGATACCAATTCCCGGCTGCCTACACAGTGGAAGGGTGTTACTTGAGGAACCTGAAAAAGAAGGTGGATTAGTATTGGTCTTAGATACCTGGGAGCGTGACCGCACAGCCGGTCACGTACGGCCATTTTATGGGTAGTAGAGCTGGGCAGTGCTAGCTTCATTCTTGTTTAAAAGGCCTAACCGCCAGAAACGGAAATCCGTGAGATAGGGTGAGGTGTAACATTTTTACGGTCGAACTTTTCTAACAGCATCGCTGCACATGCTGGTTGTCCGAGGGAAACACCTCACTGCTATCACGCCTCTCTATAGTCAGCAGTACAACTTTGCCCTCAGATAATGAGTATCTGCTTTTAGTCTCATTGTTCTCCAATCGAACTGCCTGGTATGGTCAAACTTACAGGAGCATATGTTCCAGCCAATATGGCTCGGTTGAGTCAGCACAATAGGCTAGCCCGACCACCACGTCAAGGTAACAGCTACGGTCGGGATTTACAGTTGATTGATTGACGGAGTATTCTATTAGCAAACATTACATACATCTAGAATTTGAGTGCTGATCGAATTCTACCATTCCAAGTTGCAATGTTTCAATCAGAGTTTCTTGTCAATAGTCTTCAACTACCTAACAGGCTCGTTAACAATTAAACTTTAAATCAGCTGTAAATGTTGTACAATATTTACAATATCTATTAGAAAACAAAACTAACACAAATCTACCTGATTGAACGAATGAAGTGAGGACGATAAATCTTGGAAGGACTGTTCAGTAATTGTCTAAAATGGAACACAGAAAGGAAAATTAATCGTTATAAAAGTCAAAGGAATAAATAACTACTTAAGGCATCAGTGTTAGACCGTCATTAGAAACCTGGAAGCACTAGAAAACTGTTTCGTCCTACTACTGGACTCAACAGCAGTGCTCATCCACGACTCCTGCCCACATTAGTCTAACATTGATCGATCCACGATTTCGAAGTAATTCCATAATCTCTACAACCGTATAATTAAAATTAACGCATAGTTACAATAAATGGAATTCTAAACTACAATGAACGTAAAACGATCCTCTGAGATTTTGCTTAGTTGATCAGAGCACAGATTATATAAATGAATAATCTGCTTTCAAAAACCAGAAGGAATAAAGTTGGTCTTTAATATCAATTTTGGGCGTATTAGGAACTAGGTCTTAATATGGTACAAGCTAGCTGAAATTACATCTACACATTTTGGGTATAAGTCAAAAACTTTTCATCTCAAATCTGATTGTTTCATCACCGATAGTTTATAAGATAATCAATGAATCAACTTTTACGAAACATGAGAATCAATAATGTTTTACAGCCATCAAGAATCGGTATACGTTAAACAATCATTGAAAACCTGAAGACACTAGACGGCTGATTCGTCCTAGTATCACAATTCTCACTAGTGTGTACCCGCGACCTCACAACCAAAGATCGAACTCAAGATCGATTTTTCGCACCAATTATTAGCCTTTAAACCACTGGGTTGGTAACCAATGGCGTACAAGGACAAGTTCAATCAACGCACGATGTTACGCGGCCATTTTCAATTATTTTCGATGAGGAACTTTCTCAGCCGAAACGGTTGAACGATAATGGTCACAGCTTCTCGCTAGAAACCCAAGAACATCCTCTCAAAGCTAGTCATTAGTCAACACATACTAATTAACAGTACATGGTTGTAAAGATTGTTGAATCTCATTTATATCACGAACTGATTTCAGTTAAGCAACCATTGCAGACCTGAAAACACTGGATAGACGCACACTGAGAGCTGCTAAGGAGTGGAGGTGGTAAAGTCTTTTACATACCCGGACAGTATCATTCATACACAGGGTGGACCAGATGCACGTGTAAAGACACGGATCGATAAGGCAAGGACAGTATTTCCACACCTGAAAAACATCTGGAACTAAAAAAAAACAATCAACCAACATCAAAGTCACGATCTGAAATATGTACGTCAAAATGGTTCTAATGTATGGAGAGGAAACTTGGAGAACTACAAAGCGCTAATGCAAAAAATAGAAGTGTTGTTCATTAACAGTTTTCTATGCAACATACTTAGGATCCGTTGGCCAAACATCATCAGCAACAACCTACTGTGGGAGAGAGCAAACCAGATTTCAGCTGAAGGAGAAATAAGGAAAAAGCGCTGGAAGTGGGTAAGACACATTGAAGAAACCACCGAACTGCGTCATGAAGTAAACCCTGATCTGGAGTCCCCAAAGCCAATGAAAGAGAGACAAACGAAGTAACAAAATGAACCGAGAATTAGAAACAGACATCAGAAGTATGAACAGCACCTGGCGAAAATATAGAAAGGACAGTCTGGGACAGAGTAAGTTAGAGAATACTGGTAGGTGGCCTATGCTCCATAAGAAATAACAGGCGTAACTAACTAATTTACTGAGGAAAATTAACATACTTGATCAGTAGTAGCAGTTGAATAAAGTGATGACCTTCTTTCTTTATCAAGTTTACGAAATCGCATCCATGTAGCACCGAAACCAAACAATCCAGCAACTAAGCTAAATCCAACAGTCCATTGTTGCATTCGACTAGCTTGAATGCGTTCTTCAGCTTGTGAGTGACGTAACATACTAGAGAATTGCTTAAATGATGCTTGTTCAGACGATTCAATAGATGTTAACTTATCACGAGCTTGTTGATGTTGACGTGAAAGCTAAATTGATCATAGGCACAAAGAGTATTTCATTTATTTATTTTAATTCAAAAAAAATCATAAACATAGACAGACAGACAGACAACACAGAACTTCGTACATAAGTACATCAGTTCAGGTTGCCATACCACATCAGCACAGAGACGCAATTGTCAATTCAAATCCAAGAGTGGTAGCGATAGCAGAATTATTAGCAGCAATGGAGATTATGGAGCGAAGATATGATTAGAGAAGTATAATTCAGTAAGATAAATTTAGAAAGAGAGAGATGATGAGGAATTCAGAAGGTTAGAATTAGAGAGAACACAAAGAGTGGATGCACCTGCGCCATTGCAAACGATTCTAAGCCATGTCGTTCAAGGTCTCTAACCATCGGTGACTTTCGTCTCGCGGACCCGAACCAGGTAGCCTACATCTACCAACATGACTCAGTCCACTTGTCAGTGACCTAATGCACTTCTGCCATGTTTTGGTCTGACCGCCACTAGCTTTCTTCCAACCAGTCAGTCACCAGGCCATCAACACTGATGAGACTACCCAAATATGTGAAGTGGTCTACACGTTCGACTACTTCACTCCCTACCACTAGTTCAGGTGCCGATGCAACCCAATCCTGAAGCAACACTTTGCATTTCGAGGGGGAAAACCGCATCCCGAACATGCTGGCATTGTTGCTTAGGGTAGTCAGAAGACTGCGTTTTGTCAGCGTCTTCACCAAATAGGACTATGTCATCGGCATATTCTAAGTCAGCAAGCGTGGCTGATGGTAGAAAATCGTCTCCTGAAAAGTCAGACGGGGATAACGTTGTATCTAGCAGCATCTCTATGACAAAATTAAACAAGAATGGTGAAAGTGGACATCCCTGGCGGACACCACTTGGAGTAATCATTTCCGATGACAGTTCGCTATAGGCTCTCACCCGACCAGTGGTGTTCGAGTACACAGCTTGTATAAGGTTAATGTACTTTCTTGGTACACCTTTTAATGACAGACACTGCCAAAGAACCTCACGATCCACTGAGTCAAATGCCACCTCAAGGTCCAAGAAGACAACTATTATCGGACGTCTAAATGTGTGCCTGTTTTCCAGGACCTGTCGTAGTGTGAAGATGTGGTCTATACAGCCACGTCCTGGTCGAAAACCAGACTGGTTTTCTCGAGTCTGCCCTTCACAAGCTCTAGTAAGGCACCTAAGGATTATCGAGGCTAACAATTTGGAAACTATATTAGTTAGACTTATTCCCCTGTGATTGTCACAAGAAGACTTGTCCTTTCTTATAAATTGGGACAATCAATGATTGAGACCAGTCGGATAGCATAACGTCCAGTTCCCAGATTCTACCTAAGATCTCGGTCAATCTAACTGTTAAAACTGGACCACCATCCTTAAAAATCTCAGGATCTGCAGCTCGCCCTCGCTTCAGATTTCCTATCGCTTTCTCAACTTCACAAAGACTAGAAGGTACGTAAGTCGATTTGCCATTCAGGATGACTGGAGATCGCGGGTAACCGAAGTGTGGCTGAGGGCCAGTTGAACTGATCCCTAAAGTGTTCTGCCCATCGATCCTGCCCATCTCCTGGATTGTGAATGAATGATAGTCCCATCCATTTCCGAGATAGTCTCACTCACATTCGGTTTCCTAATACCGGTTTCCTTGATAAGTCGCCGCTGCCTTTCCCATCGCTTTTGCTTTCGCCACCCACCACTGTTCACGGTCGTTACGTAGGCTTTTTATCAACCTGCGTCTAAGCTGACTTCTATACTCGTCATGTTCAGAGCCAGGTGGGATGAGCTTTCGAACCTCTATTAGTTCGGTGGATGCTACTGTGAACCACGGCTTCATCCTACGCTTATGGTTTACCTTGCTAGCAGATATCACTGCTATTTCCACAGCCTTTTTTATATCATTCCAACCTGCATTCCGATGGGAATCACTTGCATGGTTGCCTAACTCTCTTTCTAGTTGTTCCTGGAATGTATTCTTAGCCTTATTATCATTAGGTAGAACCCCAAGAGGTTTCCTTACGTTGTCTTTCCTACGTCCAGTAAGCCTCAAACAAATACGGGCTCGCACTAGGGCATGATCTGAATCTAAACATGCGCCCCAGAACGAGCGACAGTCTTCTATCGAACCCCTCCATCGGTGGCTGATGGCGATGTGATCTAGTTGGGCCCAACGTTGTGAAGACTTTTGGGGTCGCCAGGTCAACAGATGTTTTTCCTTATGCCTAAAGTTAGTGTTTGCTACAAATAGGCGGTTATCTGAGCATAGTTGCAACAGACGGTCGCCATTGTCTGTTCTCTGAGCCGCAACACCATAACATCCACCTAGGTGTCTCTCCTGCTCACTTAGTCTACCTACTTGAGCATTAAAGTCATCAGCCATTATTACTAGATCGGAGCGCCTAGCTTGTTGGAGGAGGTTCGAAAGCTTTCTGTAAAACTCATCTTTCACCTCATCCGAACTGCAGTCAGTGAAAGCATGGGCAACGACAAGTATCCCTATCTCTGCGAGTCCTTACTGTCCCGTTTAGTCGGACAGCGCACAAGCGACTATCTACTAGGATCCAGTCCAGAAGCGCTAGTTCTGCCCTACGACTTAATGCTATACCTACACCAGCGAGACCACGCGAAGCAGTATCACGGCTACCGGATACAAGAACAGTAAATCGGGATGCTTCTTTATTTTGATAAGGTGAAATCAGATTATTGACTGTACTAGAATCCCGTATGCGCGTTTCCGAGACGCAGCGTACATCGATTGAGCGAGATTCTAATGTCCTAGCTAATGATGCTTGTTGCCCTATTTGACACAATGTCCGTACATTAAATGCCCCAAAATGTAGTTTAGAACGGGGTTTAAGGAAACCAGAAACGACGTTTTGTGAACTCGCATCGTTTGCATTAGCGGTGCAGTGAGATAAGGGAATGTGAGCAGAGTTAGTTGTGGAGAGAAGAGAGGTATGTGTGGGTGTAGGAAGGATTTGATTTCGACCAATTTGGTCTCAAGTGTTGTTACGGGTATGAGAGCGGTTGTCACTTCCCGGCTGCCCACACCGTGGAAGGTTGTTTCCTGAGGGACCTGAAAAGGAAGGCAGCGTCGCTGCACATGCTGGTTGTCCGAGGGAAACACCTTACTCCTGTCACACCCCTCTGCAGTCAGAAGTACGACTTCACCCTCAGATATTGAGTAGCTGCTTTTAGTGTCATCGTTCTCCAACCGACCTGCCTGGTATGGTAGAACCTTCAGGAACATATGTTCCAGCCAGTATAGCTCGGTTGGGTCATCACGATATGCAAGCCCGACCACCACGTCAAGGCAGCAGCTACGGTCGGGAAATTATAGACGTAAGTACATTTTAGTCAGCAAATGAAATTAGATCAAACATATAATAATTGATTTGAATGATAAAGTTAGTGGATTGTTTGTCTAGCTACCGAGTGCCTGGATATGTTAGGTTGATTGATATAGAGAAATTAGAGTCAGTCAAACTGATATTTTAACCGAAACGCCATCAACTTGCGGATGTGGTAGGTGTATTTAGGTGACCAGCCCCAAATATAATGAGACGCAAGCTCTGGATTCCACTGAAAGGCATAGTTCATCTTTTCTAAAATTTGCTTGATTGAACTTATCACCGTTGAAATGAATACATATGTTTAAATTGCTGTTGATTACTGCCTACTAGTAATCTTAGATTGTATAAAATAAGTTGGAGGAAAGAAAGGGACTATTGAACCACGACTTCGGATCAGTCTATGAACTCACTGACTTTTGGCTTACATCATGTTATTAAATGGATACTACTTGGTTGGGATTCAGCCAATAACCGTTATTAGTGGTTGACTGTTGGATGACATGATTTACAATAGTGCATATCCACCTACTCACTCTTTATCTTTTTACAGATCATCAGTCTTAGTATTCCTTCCTTTTTTGATTCGTGTAAATTCTTCTCTAACCATATTCCCGATGTTTAATTTTTTTCTCAATATCAATGATAATACTGTTATTTCGATTCTTTTCCTATTCATCATGTCATATTAACATGGTATAGCCAATTCGGTTGACAAACATTTGTCATAGTTTACGTTGATTATGAATAACTGACTAATTTAGTAAGTGTTAACAACATGAAATTCCAGAACTAGGTATTTATCCATAAGTTAATCATATGTTGGTCACTTATGATTGTAGTCGACCATAATATCAAGAGGTTGATTGAAGTTACCTGAAGGAATAGAATTGACACTTGTATATCAGAAATATTAAAAACACTTATCTAGACTCTGATTATCGAATTCACCTGGTTCTAGGTAGTTATGTTTGCTCGTGTAGGAGTAGATTGGAAGAAAACTAAGACAAAATAATATCGATCGATAAAACCACTGACTGTTAAAATGAAGAATACTGGTAAGTTGGAGTTTACCTAAATAATCTCCTAAAGATTGATTAGAGAATCTTTGTGACGTTTATCCGACTTTGGATGTTTCCTGTTACTGCTTATACTTACTATTATTTTGGAAATAATTTTGAGAATTTCATCTTGCTGCGATAATATGTAGTAGTGACTTGAACTAATGAGCATCATACCCTAGTTCTATAATACTTATAATTGATTGGTTGATAAATCTCATGTAAGATTAAATATCTGGATACTTTTCGATCAAATTATCATTTGCATTTGAATAGTATATGTTACTTAATAAGACCATACGAAATCAATTTATTTTAATATAGTAGGGTTGGATCTTCAAATTTCCCCATGTGGTCTACAAAGTATGATTACAATGCCCACAAATGCACTGATACAGGCGAGAGTAGGGAAAGTCTACTCTCTCGAAATGCTTTCATATGGTCATGCATACATATACACTTTCAGGGAAGTCCTACACACTCCCTTCCAATAATGAGTGTATAACTTACGAAGCCGAGATGAAAAGCTAATTTCCGACGCTTTAACCAGGTTGGTGATTATGGAGGATTTACTTAGGGGAGTTGAAAAAATCTGATACCAAACCAATGGTGCATATGGGTTCCAGGATCTTGAGGGAACAAACGGAGTATGGACCGATTTTTGGTCACCTACTACCACGGGACTGTATCACTTTATGTTGCTCTACTGCCTTGTGGATTACAGTTTTTGACTATAGGCTTGGGGTGTGGCCTCCTGAGAAAACCATCTGCTTCGGTTCACGCACCCGGGCAGGTATCTAAGCTCACTGAAAAATTCAACAATCTGTGTGGCATGTAAATATTTAAGTGTCCCTTTTTACACATATATGTTTTCAAATAAATAAGAATAATAATTACAATGAGAAATCAGGATGATCAATTTACCTCGTGCAATTCTGTAACTAATTCCAAAAAAGTCGCATCACTACGGCTAACACTATCTAGTTTCAAGTTAATTCGATTTCTAGCTTCTTCTAACCGAAAAACTTCTGTCTGACACGCTCTTCTTTCATTTTGTTGCTGTATAAAATTTTTTTCAGCCTGTAATTTGGAAATATATAAATATATATAGGAAATAAATAATATGACAAAACAAGAATAAGGTGATAAATAGACTGTAGATAATAAAAATTTTATATTGTATAAAATTATTCTAAGTAATGAAATAGAATGAGGCAGTCGAGTAAGGATAAATGAAAAATAAGTATAGAAAAAAAACGGTAGGGTCATTAATTACCGATGTCTAACAATGTATAAATCCTAGAGTAGTATGCTTTTCTAAAAATTGCCAAGTAGAAAATCTTTTTATTAAATTAAGAGCAAACACGATGTGAACTCTTGAATGTGATACATAAGTCAATATTTTCAATGAGCAGCAATACCGTTTTAGCCCCATTTGGTGTGATTGGGCATGAAAAATTAGTGTATAAATATATATATTTCTACCGCTACGGAAAAAAAACTTACTTATCACGTATTCAGTCACCCTGACAAACCTCTGCTTTGTAGAGCTTGGTTTGATTCTCCGAGTAGGAAGAATTACCATCGTTAGACCAATCAAATCTTGGTTCACTGAAAACATGTCCCCAAAGCAGGGATATAGTTCACCCACTCTCTCCAAATGCTGTCACAGGACCATGCCGTTATAGCCTCTGTCTAGGAAACCCTACTCATTGTTTTTACGTGGTGGTGCTACTTACGGAAATAAGATGAAAAGTGGAGTTTGAAGCAGCTTAGCAGATAGAGAGTATTCACCGAAGAAAATCGATAAGCCTCGGTTCCAAACAAATGATACATATGAGCTCCAAGATCCTACAGAATCACAAGGTATATGTACCTGTTTCGCCAATCAGTTACCATGGGATAGCATTACTTGACATTGTTCCACTGCGTTGTGGAGTTAGATGCTCCAGCAGTGGTCCCAGATGAAAACCATTTGCTCCTATTTGATAGCCTGGGCTATCTTCAAACATATTTCAAAGCAACATATTTTTGGTTAATGACTTCGATTTATGATTCCTTTAGGAGTAAAGTATACGATTGTTATATAAGTCATAATAACTACTTTATTAATGAAATAGATTTGGGGCATTGTGATTCAGTTACACAAAAAAGAATACCAACTAATAGTTTGAATGAAAGCAAAAAAACATCACTTACTTCAACAACTCCAACATGTAAGGATCTAACACGATCTAATCCAGTTAGATTATCATAAATTTTATGAATTCGACTAAACTCTATAGACTTTAATTTCTCATATGCATTAAGAAAGGATTGTTTAACAATAGTCGGACAATTCATATAATTCTTTACTAACCGCATAGGCACATTTGAAGGCATATTTTGATTTAAAAACCTATAGCAAAATTAATTCGATGGGTGGCAGTTTATATCAGTAAATAAATGAAATAATCGTACAGAATTTTATCCATAAACAACTGTTTATGAATACTTTTTTACCAACTTAATTATTGTAATGAATTCAGTCAAACAGCCGGCGACAATGTAAAACTTCATGCGTACGTACACCAGTTCAAGCTGCTAAACCACATTAGTACAAAGATATGGAATTGTGACTTTTAACACCATAGTGGTATAAATAGTAGTGGTATTTACGGAAATGAAAACCACTTATGTTTGAAGATATGATTTGAGAAGCATAAACCAGTGGAGTACAGTTAACAAGGGAATGGTCAAGAGGAATCCAGGAGATAAAAACTTGAGGGAACACAAACGATGGATGTAGCGATTTCAAACCACCATTAGTCTACACTTATTAACATATCAGAGGCCAGACTTCTGGTGACTGACGAAGTCTCAGAACGTATACAGTTGGCACAACTGGCTTTCGTCAGCTTGCGTCACTAATGGTGCAGATGAGTTTGTTCTTGGTGTACCCTCAAATTGTAATCTGAATTCCTCATCACTTTTGTCCTTCTCTTTTAGGGTTAATTTCACTTGATTATGCTTCTTAAATCATATCTTCGAACTCTAATCTCCGTTAGTGCTAATACTTCTACTATATCTACTACTAAGGGATTGGAATTGATAACTGCACCTCTGTGCTAATGTAGCATGGATGCGCTTAATGCGTTATTAACTAATCAATTGAGTCTAGTTAACTACTAACTAAATCACAATGACAATGAGCTCACCTAGATGTGACAGAATCAGGCAACCGACCCTGAATTCAAAAGCACAACAACTTTCAGGGTTACATTCAATATCCAATACCGTTCTCACGAACTAGTATAAACCAATTGATTTACTTAAGCCCGATTCTTGTTCTTCCCATACGGTTCCAGGTGTCTGGTAGTATCCATTAAATACGGGTTTGGACACTCGACTGGCTAATCTTAGTCAGTTGGCAGTTGTTTGTGATTTTGTATATCTCTTGATTTGAATGAATACGTTTGTTTCTGATCAGTAGTCTTCCTTAATACCAGTAGCTATCATATAACCAGGTCAAAAATCAGTTAGCTGCAATGCGGATAAAATCTAAGACTAATAAGAGTAAGATTTAAGAACTGAGTAAATAATGGGCGGTTTAGTTTCTTAATTGGTAGTGAAGATTGTGCAAAGGGACTCTAGTGTAAGTAAGAGTGAGGAAAAAAAGATAATAGGCACGACCGATTAGGTTGGCGATCTGAGGAGCTGGCAATAATAACAACTAGCAAGTCTCAAGTCATGTATCAGGCACTGATTGTCCATCAGGGAAAAGATATTCCGTGAGTACATATTTATCAAGTCTCTTCTTAAAGCTGCCCACTGAGAGTGCCATGGTGACCTCGGCTAGAAGAGCATTCCAAGTTTCAACGACTTCTTATGAGAACAAGTGTTCACAAACCTGAGCGTTCACTTTTCGACGCTCAGTTTTTCGAGGATAACCTCGAGGGTCGTGGTAGTGATGTAGTGCATATTGCCACGTCCTGGTGACTTTCTTGAGCGTAAGGATTTTCCCTTCTATTGTACTGGGTCAAAAGTAGACTGTATATTCTCTATGCCGTTTGGTGGCACTTTTTTGAGACGTGTGTGCACTGACCTAGATTCAAATGGTTTAAATCGTTGTGGAAAGAACAGAAACCTTCGCTTAAAGAGCTCCCGCATCTAGCATTGGCGGATCAGCGATTCGTCAGGTAGGTATATTTACCGATTAAAAGAGAAGGTCTAGTGGATGATACTGATATACTGTCTGGAGTCCCTAGAAATATGTACCGTTTCTTCTTGAAGGACTCGAGGGGGTTAAATTCCACTACCTCAGTCGTTTATGAATTTCAAAAATTGTCTACTTGTAAAAATATAAGATGAGCCTGCAGCCAATTTTTCTACGTTGGCACTCCAGTTTGTGGGCATTTCCTATAAGGCTTGCATATAGACTGAGCTTAAATAATAATTTTAAAGGAGGCTGAGGAGTGTTAAGAATGTTATGAGCCCTTGGAAGGCAGCATACAAGACGCTCTCACTCTAACGTGTTCAGATCGACAGACTTGATGCTCTCTTCTTAAGGTTTGCATCTGAGACATCGAACCAATATGATGACTCGCCTTTGGTTGTATCCCAGTGTATTCTACTCCTATTGAAGCGGAGTAGAAAGAATTATATTTTTGTGTCACAAATAAGGCGGAATAAGGCTGAACAAAAATGCTTTTTAACATTATTAGTGAAGGGTTTGCTCGAAAGGCATTTCCGTATCAGGCGAGATGGGTAACCTAGGTGATATGCTTAAAGTTATTTTGGATTCACCTTACGTGGTAAATGGAACTAAAATCAATTATTCAGCGACGCTATATGCTATTCTATACCGAACGTTTCAGGCCTCACTAACCAGAGGAAGAAGTCTTGATATGACGTAGAGAATAAATTCCAACGGCAGCCAGTAAGCAAGATGTCTACTAGCACACAACTCAGGCTTATTTATATAATGATAAAATGGGAGTCACAAAACAGCGTACCAAAATAATCCATCAACCAGTGATAGTCAAAGGTTTTCCGAGTGCGAAATGTAAGCTGTAGGTCAACTGGCAAATGCAAAATCTCATAATAAAATTACAAAATTCGGACTTTTCCAAGTCAATTCTGGGGATCTATCGTCCCCAACACTAAGTAGTATACATAATCCGAGGCATGTCTCAGATTGATTACTTTGCACTTAAAGTATCCAAAGCCTCCCAACGTCTAAGTTGAATCAGATCCTCCTGAGGACCCGGCTAATCGTCCTGGCTGAAAATTTCTCTCCATCGCTTGAGATTGTCAATGAAAATTAATAACTGAAAGGATACTTTTTGATGAAGGTAGTTCATATAATCTGGGAATGATCCAGGTATCTAAGCTCACTGAAAAATTCAACAATCTGTGTGGCATGTAAATATTTAAGTGTCCCTTTTTACACATATATGTTTTCAAATAAATAAGAATAATAATTACAATGAGAAATCAGGATGATCAATTTACCTCGTGCAATTCTGTAACTAATTCCAAAAAAGTCGCATCACTACGGCTAACACTATCTAGTTTCAAGTTAATTCGATTTCTAGCTTCTTCTAACCGAAAAACTTCTGTTTGACACGCTCTTCTTTCATTTTGTTTCTGTATAAAATTTTTTTCAGCCTATAATTTGGATATATATAAATATATATAGGAAATAAATAATATGACAAAACAAGAATAAGGTGATAAATAGACTGTAGATAATAAAAATTTTATATTGTATAAAATTATTCTAAGTAATGAAATAGAATGAGGCAGTCGAGTAAGGATAAATGAAAAATAAGTATCCATTCGCTTGAGATTGTCAATGAAAAGTAATAACTGAAAGGATACTTTTTGATGAAGGTAGTTCATATAATCTGGGAATGATCCAGGTACTAAAGCCTTAAGAAATTCATCTAAACACTGAGTAACCTGAGAAAAATAAAGGTTAAGTCAGATATTGATAGGTCGGTTGGGTGGATATGAATTTTACCAGTCTATCGAGAATAGCTTGTTACCTTGCGCTTTTATCAAACTGATGAGATATATATGATTGATCCAATAAAAAGATTTTGATATGCAATATAGGATGGTTGTCCGTCGTACTTAGAAGGTTGGTTATATAGGATTGCCTCTTTCTGAATCCGTGCTGTTGGGGAAAAAGAATTTTTCGGCCAATAAACAGTCTCACAGACATTCGTCACTTTTGAAGATACTGTAAATACAGCAACCAGCTGGTGGCTTGTAGGTCCACTGCCTGGGCCCCGTTGAAAATCTGTATGACGTGTGCCAGATTCCAATAGTTTGGGACGGTGCTTTCACTTAGTGAATATAAGAACATCAAACTACGCGGTGTTGCAAGGAGTGGTATCGCTTAGTTCAGCAGAGCAGAGTGAATAATGTACAGCCCAGAGGAAGTGTCTTTATTCAGATGATTCATTTTTTATCAAAGCAGATCAGATCTTAGGTTTACTTATCAGATGCCTCTTAGATTGCAGCTGAGGCTGTCGTTAATGTAGAACAAGTGTAAGATCCATTTTGGAAGGCTTTGTTTGTGAAAATCCCTACATGTATACATTTGTAATATATCCTTACTGATTCTTTCAGTCCTAAATTCCATTTTGTGACGATAATATTTGTATTTTATGTTTCTTTCTGAACTGCATTATGTTGTTTAAGCTGATACTTAGTTATAGCGACAGCCCTAATGATTTGCTCCCCTGGCGGTTGGAGCGCTTACAATGACTGGAAGTGTGCGATTTCGATTATGAATTGGAGCACTCTTCCAGAATTGGAAACACTCTGCTTTATTAGAGGGATAGAATATCATTTATTTGAATACTCGAAGGAATAACGCCATAATATTGTTTAGGTAATGATGCAATTATATATAGAACAGTTACTTGCCCAGATCACGTGTTTTGGATATAAAATGGGTGAGACATGTATCTAAACTTACTGAACAGCCATTCCTAGATCCAAACCTCTGTTTGGATCTTAAAACAAGTGTGATGGTTGAAAGGTTTAAAAATACCGTTCCGTTAGTACCTCTGAAGTATCAGGCTGAACCAGCAGTTCACATCCACAACTCCGCTAGCGGGAATCGAACCTAGGACGTCCGATCCCGTGCGCTGACGCCTAACGGCTAGACTACGGAGTCGGCATCTAACAGTGTTTTCGTCTAACTTTGATCACTCTAAGGATTTTGCGGAACCTAATCAATTGTCTTCGGTAATTACTGCCTACGCCCGACACGGTTGAACTCCAATCTTCATGGCTTCTCAATAGAAATATCGGAAGATTTATTATCAGCTTGTTATTTTCATTATCAT